AGGATTGCCAGGTCGATGGGAATGTCGTCTTGTGCATCCGGAAGCCTGAAGAACGCTTCTAAACTGTCGTCTGAGCTATATTCATCCAGTAAGTGTATATTCAAATCAAGAGGCAACCCTAACGATGTTTTCAGATATATCTCCTGATTCACTGGCCCAACTTTGCGAGGAATTCTCCAATTCGAAAAATTCTTAAAGATGATGAAATTCGCGGAATTTTGCGAAGCTATCAGTCTCCACAAAATGTCGCTCAGCAACAGAAGTGGTGAGCAAGATTCAAATCCGATGGTCAGCTAAAGGACTTCCATAGGCTTCAACGAAACAAGCTACTTTGTGAGGGCTTCGGCAATTTGCTGCCATATCTTGGGCTTTGGGACCCATTGAAAGCGTACCACATTGAACGGATTCTTGAACTCCGGTGTTATGAAGTATATCATTGGAGTTTCCATCCTTCATATGTTAATGTTTTATTGGCCGCACGTTTATAAGTTCCTCGGTGTGATCCACCGGATATGGGCATATCTTTTCCCGGATGATATATCATATTTAATAGGCCCAAGCTCAGTGCAGCGCTCTCCGCTTGGGCCAAATAGTGTTCAGGAGGCAGCTGGTCCTCATCATCATCATCTGAATCCTCACTATCAAGTTCCAATATGAAACTATAGATAAATCAGGTGTCAACGTTGCTTGCCGGTTGAGTGTATTTGCCCTCTACCTGTTTAGGAAATTTACCAGTAGCTGCTTTAAAGCGGCGATGCCAGGACGGAAATGCCACGAGAATGTACCCTAAAAGGCACGACGTTCTGTGGCCTTTCCGGCGTCACCCCGAGTTACTCAGTACAAGAAAGAGAGATGGGATTAAACAATATATTAACCGCCACACACAAACACATGCACACACTAAACTAAATTATCTTCTAACTATCTAAACTATCTGAAAGCATCGAGACGTTCCCATTAAACCTCCAAAACCCTTCAAGGAGAAACGAGGAAGGTTCACGCCGCCAGAGGACCAATAGGGTTTTCCCCCGTAACGGGGCCGTGGCCTCTCGAGCATATAATCGAACCCAAACTTTTTTCTTCCAAACGAACAAACGAATCAAGAAATCCAAAAACAATTTTGGTTTCCCCAACTCCGTCTTGTGATGTGATACAAGACAAGTAAAGACAAAACAAACTTGAAATCCCCAAGTTCAACTTGGGTAGTCGTATAATCCAAAATAGTATCCTCGCAATAGGCCGATTGCCTCTGACGGAATGGGTAGCCTTGAATCCACCACAGGCCGATTGTCTTTCGATCCGACGAATCCCTAGGCCGTAGCCGCGGATTACCCATGCCATAAGTGGATTCCGACTTACTCCGCGTCCTCGTCATGGTGTATGGCAAAACGACGGGTATCCCGGGGCTTCCTGCCCTTGTCCGTCTTCCACTGGCCAGTCCTGGTATCGGAATCGGGCCGAATAACAGCAAGAGGCAGGTTGGCCAGGACAGTTTCGTTGCCCTCGTTAAAGTGGACGAAGAAGCCACCCAGGAGCAGACGGCGGAGCTTGTTGAGACGAATCCATTTCCACCACCGGTCAATGACCACGACGCCATCACGGCCAATCTTCACTCTGGTTTTGCTTCCGAAGTGACGATCGGTGTTGTAGTTGATGGCTGTGTTGTACATTGGCCCACGGCGGGCGTCCTCCACAGATGTGTAGATCGAGATGAAATTCATGTGCAGAGACTTCTTGTCTTTCTTGCTGATCTTCTTGGAGTGTGCCGTGGCCAGAGACTTCAGGAGATTGAGGATCTCTGGGGTGTCGTGGTACGGTTCGTATCTTTGAACGAGCCGGGGCCCTTCATAGTTGAGCAGGGCTTCCTCGGCTTCATCCTCATCGTTTTCCTCTTCCTCTTCGGCCTCATCATCTTCGGAGTCCTCCGAGTCCTCACCAAAGTTGGCTCGGGGACTGAAGCTCTTTTCGTAGAGAAGGGCGATGTTCTCGCCAGCAGCAATCTGCACACCGGTGTCGTTACCACCCAACTGCTCGGCGAAGATTTCGATCGCTTCCTCACTTTCTGCAGAGAGGTCCCAGATGTGGGTGGCCAAGTGGCCCCATTCTGAGAGAGCAGCTTCGGTGCAGTCCGTATCATGACTGGCACCGATCGATTCTCCGTAAGAAGCGACAATGTCGAGGAAAAAGTTCATCTGGTCCAACATGCCATCATCGCCGGCACCTGCAAAGACTGCACATGAGCCTAGACAGCGAATGGCGGACGACTTGATAAGGTTAGATGATGAATCACGAATAGTGCGAGTAAGAACCGGCTCTACGTTCTCGTAGACCGTGTTGTCGTTGGCGCTAAGTGCAAGGAGCTCAAGGGCTCGGAGAGCCAGTGTCGTTTCACGCTCACTGGACTCCTGCTTGATGCTCTTGCAAAAAGCAGCGGTAAGTTCGCCGACGCGACCATATAACTCATCGTGCACGTAGTGGAACTTAGACAGTCGACCAAAGGCAATGTAGGCTTCTTCACGGCCCTGGACACTGCTCCGCTTGCGGTCCACAATGTTCGTGATGACGTCTGAGAATTCGTGTTCCCAGAATTCGTTGTTGACCTCATCGTCGGTGAAGTCAAGGAGGCTGTGAGTATTGTTAGCTATATGATCCGATTATGAGGGAGTAAGGCAACAAGGTCCAAGACTTGAGACTCTTAGTGCCAAGACGCCAAGGCACTCAGGCACATGCAGGCTTCGAACATTTTTGTAATGACGTCACCACCACCGGAGGCAACAGAAGAAAGAAAAAAGAATGACTCACCTGTCAAGGTCTGTATCCTCGTTCTCAGAGGGAATTCGACTCGGATTGCGAGAAGAAGGGCGAGAAGAACCATTAGGAGAAGCTACTCGGCTGGTTGCTTTTGAGCCTGCGGAATACTCGTTGGCCGCGGCTTTGCGCGACATCTTCTTGGTATGCTCAGGAGCAGCAGAGAGATGTTGTTTTGTACGCATCTTGGCTCGTGCAGTGTGTGAACTGTGATATATATATAGAAGGGGGAAAGTAATAGATGTAGTTCCGGTTATTGGTGCGCTAAAACCGAGTTCGCTCTAGATACAGTGGTATCACAAAGCGAGGTGCACCAACAGGAGGGATTTGTAGAAGAGAAGAGAGAGAGAGCAAGAAAAGCATGACAGACGGGCAAAATATACCCTTTCAAGAGGCAGCAGTTAGAGATAGGCTCCAATGCACCTGATAGTAGACGTCAACAACCCAGCAGATGACCAGAGTAGAAGTCGTGTCTGAGGATTCAGCAGTCAGGTTCGAAAATATATGTGTTGGCGCTTTCAAGAGTTCAAGAATCACTCGAAACGAAGCGAATTCAGGCGAAAAGAGTTGGTTGTTGAAATGCCAATAATTATTATTAACCGGCATTTGATATACTCCAATTGGCCACTCACGTGATTACATACTCCATTTCTACTGGAAGGCATTCTTACCAGGGAATAATAATACGATAGGAATCGTTGGGTACGAACTATCACATGGTGTAGATGCATCAATTCCCGATGGGTATCTAATATCTCTTAAAAAAACCTTTTATTGCCGGCTGGTGGCCATCTCCAGGATGCTTCGAGCTTTGCGCCCTTCCAGATATTCCCTTCCTTCCTGTGACCCTTCGTCTTCATCTTCGTCGTCTCCCATCTCCAAGTCTACATTCAGACTCGCGTCATATGCTGCCATTACTGTTTCCTCGTCGACCGGGACCCCGCCTTGGACTAGGACTCGAATACATTGTGCCAATCGCGCAATCTCGCGTCGGGTTTGTGGCGCAATATCGTCGTTCTGGCTCGAGTAAATCGAGCTCGATACCATCTCTTCCATGCGCGTGATGGAGACGTTCTCAGTCGCTGAAGACGCAGCATCGGTACCCTCGGCATGCTTCGATATCCAAATGTAACCATTTACTCCGAGAATAACATCAACCTGGCCTCCTCCATTTGCGCTTTCGATCGTCCACACTTGTCTTCGAGAACGAACCACTGTTCCACCAGACGTATTCCCTGTGCCGTTTCCTCCCTTCACGGTCGAGTTCGAATTGCCGCTACCACCAGTCCCCGTCACGGCCAAAAAAAATCCATTCCGTAGCTTACCGTACTTCAGCGACCGAGTATGTAATGATGCGGAGCCATCCTGATGCACAGTCTGCACTTCCGCGACAACCAAATCTCCTTCACTGAAATATGTCCGGATCTGCAACTCATCGGCGCTCGTCCGTCGACGCAGGATACCACCTGGGAGATTAATCGCGGACAACGGGAGATTTGCCAAAAGGGGCGCAGCAACATCCACTTTCCACCGTCGCGATTGCACTTCCACAATACGACCGACCACTAAGTCACCGATTTCCGGGGTATACCGCGCGCGGAGGGGCGTCACGGATAGCAGTTTGTTCGTTTTCTGGACATTTCCTGCGACGGTTGCGATGATCGATGTAGACAAGGGGTTAGTATAGGTACCATGGCCTCTGTAGAGCGCAGAATGTTAGCAGACGCACATAATGGGTGTTTTGCGCGACAAGTAAACCAACCTCATCCACTGAGGATCATCCGTCACGACTTCTCCCGGTGTAACAATCCCTGCGCCAACCTTGGTCCCTCCTATTAATGGTCGCTTGTTCGGTCGTGAATCTTCGAGTTCGACTCCTCCGTCCGAGTCGATAGACATGGAATCATAATCGGCGTGGGGGGTGTCGACGTCTTCCACCACTGGTGGATGGATGGTGATGGGCATTTTCTATAGGACTTATTATGAGGTACCGTGAATGAAATCAATTCTTCGTATATAATAAGAATTCTAGCTCAAGATTCGGGAAGATGGTGTTGATGGTGCTTGTCCATGGCGGATGAAGACTTGACATTTGATGCAAACAGTGTAGATCAATGCAAACAAAGCAAACTTGTCAGACAGCCCTATTCACGGTCGTACATTTTTCATCTTTCTACAACACCCTCTATCAACTTCGTGCTATTATACCCGATGCATTCTTCTTTATTTATTTATTTTTTTTATTTATTGGGAACCTTCTACGTGGTAGTAATAAGCATGCCCCTTGTTGACGGATCGAAGCTGCAGAGGGCTGAAGCTCCTCTAGTACAATGCAGTAAGCTATTGAAACGACAAGACCCAGTGAATAAGAAGAAATCCATCGATAATAACAACTGCTAGTATAAAAAGAATTATATGATTAGGATTTTACTACTGTTCCTTCATTAAAGACCAAAGAAATACCGACCATCGCCAGCAAGCGGAAAACGAAGACAGTGGCTCTCATTATGCGAATGGAATGTATGCTAGTGTTGTGACGGACCCTAAAAATATGCCATATTTCTTCTAACCGGAATGTATAAGGCAGGGGCATATAGGGTCTGTTTGATCATGGTAAAGGCGTTTACCCATTCTTTACGGAGCGGCAGGAGTTACTGTCGCGTCTGGTTCTGGAAGCGCTGCCGTGCCTCAACTTGGACGTCGAGCATACCTTAACCCACAGTAATCACCATGGCACAACATACGAAAACAATAAGAAGGTGAACGACGATCTTGGCTGGCACGAGAATGTACAAAATCGTCTAAAGGCGATTGATATTCCCACCTTCGTATGGGGTATACCTGCAAATGAGCGGTCGAAGACCACATGTTTGGAACTCCGAACAAACCAAATGTCATGAGCGACATAGGTATAAATGAGATCTAGATAGTGGCGACTAATTATATACCTAACATGAGGAGGGAAGCGAGTCCACAGACGTGGACCATTATCATTGAAAATCACGAATGCACCGTGCCCTTCGAAATATTGACACTAATTCAATACATGTAACCAGGACTGTATGAGAATCCAGAAAATTGGGCCAAAGGGCTGGGATTAGGACCTCAAAAACTGCCATGAATTGTTTTTTATCACATCATACCTCCAGCACAGAAGCCATCCGCTATGCCCACTGATGCAAAAAACACGATGGGCAATAAACATTCTGGATCAAGGCTTGGTGCTAAATCATGAAACAACCATGATATCTGCACCATCGCTCGAAGTGCCGCTGGCCACCATAACCCCAGGTCGAATATTGAGACCAGTTCAACACTCATGCATCTGATGAGAGCATTTTTCGAGCGACAAAATAATATTTAGCTTTTGAAGAACAGGATGAAATACAAAAATGACAGGTATGGTCATCTGGTAATGGCTTGCTCTGAATCAAGCCCATGCACCCGCATCAGACATTGAACGAGATGTATTCTTTCATTCAAAAAATAAACCCATAAATTAAGTTCAAGAACACTATCTCACTTTATCCACCATGGTATTGTGTTTTTGGGCTGCGATTCTGATGGCTCTCTCGTTGACCCTTCATGGTTTTTGCATCGAAACCAGCACATGGAACCATGAGCACATTTAAGCCAAGGACTTTTTCTGTTAACTAGCAACAATAGCATAGTGAAGACAGGAATATGTGAGCTTCCTTAAGTGACTAAGCCTAATAGAAATTAAAGCGCAACTGTAACTCGTAAAATTCAATCTTCATAATGAAAATGGATAAGAAGAGTGCATGCATAATCACACCACGCTTCAAGTAGCCGTATATATTTATACCAAATAAACTTTGCCAAATGACATGATAGTTGGAGACCTTAATTTCCACGAAGAGGGAGAACATCACAGGGACACCAAATTTCAAAGTTGAGAAGCAATCTCTGATATTCTAACTGCCATATGGGCTTAGGTGGTCTTTGAATTACCATGATAATACACATCACATACAGCATGTCTATCTCATTTGAGTAATGTTAGGGCGATGGCTTCGATACACACCAAAAGATAGTGGGGACCCGCGGCATGCCTTTTCTCCATAGGTTGATATCCAATGTCCAACGTATAACCTAATACTTTGTCGGGAAGACTCGAGAATAAGACACTCAAGAACCGAGCGATTCTACTGCATCGAAATGATTCCTTAGAAACACTTAGAAATACTTGGATAGAGCCTCCGAGATACCCGATACAAGCAATAGCAGATGCGTATGCATCATTGATTGATCCCCAGAAGCCGTGACAAGCGCACTACACATTCCACTTAACAAAATCCGTTCGAAATAATTCCTATTCTCTGAAGAGTAGAACCAACGACCGCATGGTTTCGCCATACTGGTTGGAAGATTCAACTAACCCTAAACGGCAAACAGTTCTGATGGTCAGACAAATCCAACTCAACAGTTAAGATACGCCTACATCATGATTTAGCCTAGGAGCTACTTCACTGCGAAAACCTGTTTTTGAACCTGTCTATATATGCCCGAGGTGTTACTCTAGTCTGATCCTGGCGATCACATTTCAGTTTTTTATCACGCCTGCCATTGTCGAAACACATGGCTGTCTGTTATTGATCGAAAACAACGTTGCTATAGAATGTACGACAACACTATTAACTCGTATGCGTCATGCAATTTTCGCTATAGTGAGTTATGAGAGGATAAAAGTCTATAAGCTACACAGAAGAAACCAAGGTCACGCTAACACCGCTAACCGGATGATGTGAATCATATACAAGCCCATCATTGAGCTCTGTATGGCAAAAACTCCAAATCGAGTTAATTAGGTCACTCGAGTCTCAGATATACAACATGAGATAGGGCGCTGACAAACTAAGTGATATTCTCAATCTATGTCAATGTGTGCTGAAATCAGGCGAACGATAACACTTAGTGGACCAAGTCAAAAAAGGAAAATCAAATTGTTCCGGACAATCTTCAATTACAGCCATACTGTGATTATAGAAGCCAGAGCTTGATTACTTCGTTTAAATATACATCGCTGCAATGAAGATATGAGGATATGGCGAGCATACTGACCCGCTTGACAAGCACGTTACAGTGCTCGTGACGGTGAATAACCAAGTAAAGAAGGCATTCAAGCCTTTTATATTTGGACTTTCTATTGCAAGCTAGAGCGTATATCGTATCAACTTCTAAAGATCATTCTATCAAATAATACAACTTTTCCCACCCCTACATCAAACGCCCATGAAAAGAGATCTATGCCCTCCTCTCCAGCCACCCTTCCAACCACCTCCTCTGCTCCCTCTCTCCCTCCCATTCCTCGCTCTCATCTTCCCCAGTCTCCCGCATAACTATCTCAACACCACCCCTCTCCTCAACCGCAATCCGAACCTCAACTCCCTCCATCGCACTAACACCGCCCCCATGCATAATCAATCCATCATCAACAGCTAGATACTCTGCAAACCGCCTCAGTCGCGCGCGGTATATCAGCGATACAAGTGTAGACGGACGAGTATGTGTCTTTACAAGACCGAATACTGCACATGCGCGCAGCACTTCTTCTGGAGATGCAGAGTCGATCCACTCCAGGCTGATGTATTGCGCTAGGAGGTCCAACTCCTTCCCTGTATCTGGGGTATATGAGACAGAGCCGGTTGACTGGACGTAATGCGCCACCAGCGCCGCGCGTTTCCGTGATGCTTTTTGTGTACGGTCTTTGGTGAGTTGTTTCGGGACGCGGCAGGTATATGGGACAACAGCTGATCCCAGCGCAAGAACGATAACCGGGGTAAATTCCCCACAGACAATCAACATAAGCGTAAATGGTATCATCCGTCGAACATCGTATGCGGCGCGTCGAATAAGTTGGAAGTTCGAACGACTAAGCCCAGTCTTCTCAACTGCGTTCTTGAATGCAATCGTTTTCGACTTCGGTGGCGGTGAGACCGGAAGATATACGGGCAATCCCAATCCCTTTCTCATTGGGAGAGAAGTGCGATAGTTGTGATATACGTTCTTCAATCCCGTCTTGTAGAAAGAGAGGTATGCCCGTCCCAGTGCGACATAGCGCTTTACTGTATCGATCGGCGCGGCATCGTCGGGTAGCGAGTCTGGTGCATTGATTTCTGCCGGACGCGTACTTGGTGGCGGGTTGATATCGTCAGGGGAGGTGGTGGATGTAGAGGAAGTTGAGGGGACGGTTGCTGGGGAGTCGGGTTGTGCGGAGGAGGATGGGCGAGTGTGTGTTTTTGAGGATGGGGAGGAGTAGGCTCGTGTCGAGGAATTGAGGGGTCTCAATGTTGTCGATGTTATTTTCGGTAATGGGCGAATTGCCCACTGGGCTCGAATTGAGTGTAGCATCGTCACAGGCGAGGTTGTAACTGGGGTGTTGTCAGATTGCCCGAACGGGACATGAAGAGGTGTCTGATCCCCAGGCACCCAGGCATACATAACGCCAGGCACTCAGGCAACAACAATAATATCATGAACAATAAAATTTGCGGAGTAAGAGTCCTCCACTCATTTACAAATTACGTCCATATACGGAGTACTCCGTATAGCGAACAACATGTTCGACTTCCTAAAACCCTCCTCCCGGAACACTCCACCTCCAGCCCTCTCTCCCTCCCTCCCAACAGCCCTTATCCTCCTCGACAACCAAGCCGCCTTCGCACACCCCTCCGGACCGGCATCTTCGCGCTCGAATCCCCTCTTCGAAGTTAACCTGACCTCACTCCTTGCTGCGTTTCGAGTTGCCCGTGAGGCAGGCCTGTCGCCTTCGCAGTCGCCATCGATACTGCCGCTGTCCTCGAAGGACAAAGATGAAAGCAATAGTAAAAACGATAATGAGAACAATCTCGAGGTTATACATATCTTCCATACCTCGGATAACCCAGCAAGTCCACTGCATCCGCAACATCCCATGAAGCTAATTCGACCTCTGGACTTTGCGCGGCCGTTATCAAAAGATAAAAACAATAGTGATGACGGCGGAGGAACGGGGACTGGGGAAATGGTCGTTTGGAAACCGCTCAACTCCAAGCCTATTGGTCCTGAGTTAGAGGCGTACCTCCGGCAGCGTGGTTTCCGCCAATTACTCTTCGCTGGACTGACGACTGATCACTGTGTCTCGACGACTGTGCGTGTCGCGGCGAATCTGGGGCTTGCGGATCCGGGGAGGATTATTGTCGTCGCGGATGCTACGGCGGCTTGGGCCAAGGGTGGTGTTAATGCGGACACTGTGCATAATGTCTCAATTGCCAGTTTGGAGGGAGAGTTTGCAGAGATTATGGGGACGGAGGATGTTGTCAAGGCTTTGCGAAGGATGAAATGACTTTACGGATTGCAGTTTTGTTTACAAGATACCACATACCAGCGCATCATAATAATATCATTCTATCATACATCATGCTATCAATACGTTATAGAGTAGAGCCCGACTACAAGTCAACCTTGATCGCAATCATGCTCTCCGAATAAAATCCCGTCACAAATAACCACGCCTTCTTACTCTGTTCTGGCTGCAGTGGAATCGGCACCAGAACAGCTGTGGCAGCGGTCCGGATATGGGTGCCATCGTCTTCGAAGAGCAGACGGGTTTCGTACCTTCCGTTGTTGCTGCTTTTTTCATCATCGTTCTTCTGATATCCGCCCTCTCCCTCACTATTCCTGGTGGCAGTCGTGTTGGGCCGCATGTACCATACCATCACACCGTCCTTGGCAGTCGGATCACTCTGATGCATGACCATATCAATGGGTCGTCTCAGCCCAGCGAGTACGAAGCCACTGGCGTCATCCTCGTCTGAAGTCCGATATACATCAGTAAAGTAGCTGGGATTGTCGATGTCGCTGTCCAACGGAATTTCTTCCTTCACCGAAATGGTATCTCCATCCTGATCCCGAACCGGCTGAGCTAAATACAACATCCCCCCTGCAGCGCTGGTGAGCAGCATATCATCCGCAGCCTTGCCGTGGCCGAACCCGTTGTTATTGAAGAGTCCTGTCAGCGCAATCGACGCATCAATGGCCGCTTCGGCATCCACTGCCTGCAGCTCATCTAACCGCACATGAATAGTACTGGACCATTTAGCCAACGGGACAATATCCTCGATAGCACGACGCACGCCATCCCGATAACCATGATCATTGGTAACAAAAAAGGAGTACGGACTCTCGGCGTAGATGTCATTGGGTGTCTTGATTAGCGGGTGGCGGATGGACCGAACGTGCGTCACGGCCGTGGTATCCAAAACATGGTGGAAGAGCTCAATCTGCGAGCGAGCCTTGGGGCCGTCCCAATCCCATTCTTTGTCCGATCGACCAGGACGGTATGCGGGGTGAGGTGCATGGTTCACGGCAAAAATGTACACGGCGTCGGGTCGCTCTGGGTCCTCCAAAACGTCAATTCCATGCGTGATGAACGGACCGGAGAAGCCATCTTCAAACGTGAGTCGCGTTGACTTCATGGTCTAGAACAGTTAGCGCCATCGAGCATCAAACTACCTCTGGAACACACAACTTACCCTCGGATCAATGACATGAATCGAGCCCGTCGCGAGAGACGGCTTCTTAAACGCCTTCATGGGCGGAAACCATTCAAAACGCGGAAGCACGGAATCCTCGCAGGCTGTAAACAGCTTGTTGCTCGGCGCATGGTAATGCAGATCCTCGCATTGTATTGTATCCTCGATCTTGATCAGATTCTGGCCCTCGATGTACTGGTTGTTCTCAATGGGCTTCCTGAGAACTCCCAGCAAAGTCACCTGGCGGTATACCGGTCCTGCGAACATGGCGGCCAGGACAGCCAGGATAGTGATGTTCAGGAAGCTCCCCATGGTGGTATTGACCAGTGGGATCTTCTACTCCACGACTATATGAATTGAGATGTTGTGCGCAGAAAAAGAGAGATGGGATGATTATTCTGTGTGGGTTAGAAGTGAGGAAAACGGAAGAGGGGGGGTGGGGGGAAAGAGCAGGAGGGACCGAGGCATCGCTCCAGCCTCAGCTCAGCTGCATTATTATTATTTTTTTCAGCCCAAGCTCAGCTCAGTTTCCCCACACTTATATATTTAGATAACGAGTCTCCGGGGATGTTAGTAACCGAGGGTGGAGAGTATTCGGGAATAGCACAAAATAGTACCAGAAGCCATAGCGGAAAAAAAAAAGGCACTTCGTTGAAAGTAAACTATTCCAAAAACATACAAGACATCAAACAAAATAGGAGTCATTTTAATTGTCCATCGTCAAATTACACCGTAACCTTACCCATTGCAAATTCCCGTTAGATATTCCCGCTGTTGCTTAAGCCAAAAAAGAAAAAAAAAAAAAAAAAAAAAAAAAGAAAGAAAGAAAGAAAGATAAAACGGCCGCAACGTAGGATTCCTTCGACTGCTTGGCTTCAAGGTATTCCTGGTCGCTGGCATCCAACACATCGTACTCCTCATCTGTCAGGAAGCCATCAACATCGTCATCGTCATTCATGCTCATGGTGTCGGTGACGGTGAGATAGTCCAGTTCATTGGTCTGGTTCGACTCCGACGGGGCAGTTGACGGGGCAATTGATGGCACAGCACGAGGAGCAGCCGTCTCCTCGTGGATACTGGGCGACTCTTTGTCCAAAGTAGGGAAGATCATCCGAGATTCTGTCTGCTCAGTTTCTTCAGTCGTGCACTCCTCCTTGACCGTGGGCTCCTCGGACTGTTTCTCATTATCCAGCAAGGCTTCTTCAGGCTTCGGCTCCGACTCTGGCTCAGAGGCGCCGGCTTGAACCCGAATGTCACACCACAGGCGATGACCAAACGGCGTACCGTTAGGCAGCTTCAGACGCCAGTACGACATGGCAGATCCTTCCCGGCTGGGGCTCCGGAGAAGCATCGTAAAGTCAGCGGTCTGCCTGGGTTCCAGCGGAGCAGTGAGCTTGTTGCTCTCCATGGCAGACGCGACTGAACGTAGGCTGGAGGGGTGCAGCGTATCCACATTAATCATAGAGTCTCCACCAACAAAACGCACATCAGTACCCGCGGGCCATGCAAGAGGACCAGGGTTGTAGAGCTTCCACGTCTGTCGGAAGGTCTTGTTGGGGGCCATGACCGTGCCATCGGCAACAACATCATTAATAAAAAAGGCCTGGTAGCCAGAAGTGGCGTCGATTGTAGGAGTCGTGACCTGTTCCCTTACGGGAGCTGGAGCTTCTTTGACAACACCCAACTCTGCCTTCTCCTCGGATTCCTCTGTGGGGATAATCTCATGTTGGGACGGGGCGTTGGCTTGCGTAGAGACAGACTTCTGAACGATACGGTCACCGAGAATGCTGCCCTGGCCGTTCAGAATGTCTTCATCAACAGTGCTAACACTCACATGGCGAACAGGCGTCTTGAATTTGATCAGGGGATGAGTGTGGTTGTGTGTATTGGTTGGTAGGGCCTCGCATTTAGCGCAGAAGTCTGTGTCATGGCACACAGTACACTTGTACCGAGGCCCAACGATGCAAGTGGAAACCTGCTTTTTGCAAAGAGGGCCATCGCAGAAAATGCCGGAGTGTACTTCTACAGAAAGAAGGGGCTCAGAGAGGGCGCCATAGATCGGAGCAAATCGATGGCCGGGATGGGTGAGAAATGCAGTCGGAGCGCAATCCGAGCAGTAATCCCAGTCGGGACAGCCCAAGCACTTGTGGCGTACACCCGTGATTTGCTGTAGTATGTTAGCTCTGTACTCAAGAGCATACACTTGTCTTTTACAGGAACAACTAACCTTATCGCAGCCATCGCATACCGCTGCATGATATTGGTTACGCCCAGGGCGACAGCGAGACATTACCGAGCTCCTCAATGTAAACTGACGGTCCTGGACAAGAGAGAAACTATGTCCAGGGTGATGCCCATGGGCATTTTCAAGAAGACAGTTGACGCAAAGGTCATAGTCCTTGCAGTCAACGCAGGTGACCATCTTGGTCTCTTCGTATTCTGACGGGTGTTAGAATCAACCAACTACATCCAGAAGGGATCCACAGGATTGAAAACATACCTTTGAGACAAGCATTGCAGATGCGCTCATCACATTGCACAGAGGCAGGAACCGGAGGGGGCGCGGGTGTAGCAACAGGTGCAATTGCAGGGGTGGAAGCATCCGGGACAGGCAGAAGTGTCACCGAAGACGACCGCTCAGCAATGGACTCGGGAGCGACCACGGGAGCGACCTCAAAGGGTTTCACTTCCTCCATAGGCTTGCTGTTCTGAGGAGCGATCTTCTCAGTGATACTATTGGTCACGGTTCCCCCCTTGACAGAACGCTTGATCAACCAATGATCTTCGGCTGGGCAAGAGATGCCCGAGGCGACACACTGCAAGCACAAGTCGTAGTCCCCGTCGTCGCAGATGCTGCAGTGGTAGTGTTCATTAGGAACGGTTTGACCACAGTTGTTGCAATCGATGCAAAACGATCCTGCGGACGATTGATGTGCAACAGCTGGAGAATCGTTGTTGTTTTCAAACTCCCGGTATCGTGGTTGCGGAGCAGCAACAGTATCTGTAGTTGACAACTCCACCGGCAGGTTGCTAGTGCTCTTAGCAGTATCGTCGCCCGTCGGAGTAGCATTGGGGCTCTCTTCGCTTGGAACTTCCGGCAATGGATGACTCAGGACCGTGTCCAGGTAGTCATTCCTTGCTGGGCTCTCCTGCTCCGTAGAGCTATCAGAACTCTCCTGTGACACGGGAGACGGCAGGGGATTGTTGTTAATCGTCGTGACACCGATGACCAACCTGAGCTTTGCTCTAGCGGCACGACTCAGTTGCTTGTAGACGGCTGCATTCTCACTGTCAAGCTGGACAAAGGATGCTGCGCTATCGGAGTATCGCTCGATAATGACATCAGCGCCCGACGGGACATTGAGGAGTTGAAGGAGCTGATACAAATCCATCATCAGAATTTACTATTTCAAAAAGAAACGTATTGTATTGTGGTCGGGATTCCCGGGGGGGGGTGTGGTCATGATGATCACGGGATAAGTATATGACGACGGGGTTCCAGATTCAGAAAGATGTGAAAACGCCCGTAATCAAGCTTTCCCCGGTCGGAGCTCTGGTGGAAGGGGAAAAGAAAAATGAATGAGATTTTACCTTCTGGGGAAAGACCTCGGCCTTCATGTCCTTGAACGGCATCTTCAAACGGCGGGTAGTGCCATCGTAGTGCACCTTGACGGTGATTAAAGTATCATGGCCAACAGAGGCTGCTGATGGGGCAGGAACAGGCATGGTCGCGACCGTAGTAATGATAATCACTCAATCGTAGGGATGTTGAAGGGTCACTAATCACTATCATCACACTAATTGCTCGCAATATCGCCGAACTGGCGGTAGCAGCAGTAGATAGATCTACTCAGCTGAGTGACGTAGCCGGCGATAACGAGATGCGAAGGGGAGATATATGCCCAAAAGAAAAATAATAGAAAGTGTTGAGGATGGAAAGATGGGAGAAGGACGATGAAGAATGAAGAAAGGAAAGAATGGAAAGATGGAAAGAGAAAAGAAAGAAAGAAAGAGAGCAAACAGAAGATGGTTAAGAGGCAGAGTCCTGGAGAGGAGGTCAGCTGCTTCCTCTGGCTCCGGAGCTGCATCCGGGGGCGGTGAAGGCCATACATGCCGTCATTCATTCCTAACAGCTGAAAGACCATCAGAGAACGGAAAGTGATGTGGCTGTTTTCTACATATTTAGTACTTACACTACATGGGTCTAGTTTCACTCAGTCATCTTTCCATTTCCCCCTAGTTTTCCACTCGTTTTCATGGCCTTTCCAAGGATTTCCATCTAGATCAAATCCCCTGTAACCCGGTCTATACATGTCAACACTGTGCGAGGGCCCGACAGACGTACCACAAGAGTACGTATAACAACCCAACATCACAAAACAACAAATACGACCAAGGAAATTATGCAACGTGTTCGATTGTTCCAAAAAAAAAAAATAAAATAAAATAAAATAAAATAAAATAAAAAGTTGCAGATACGACAGCACGCTCAGAGACGGGTGTACACAGAAGATATAATCAGACTTGAAATCAAAGCATTCCTATTCCCAGAAACAGACAATAGAAAGAAGACAAAAGTGCTTGAAACGCTAGAAAAGTCAAGAGGAAAAAAAAAGAAAAAGAAAAAAAAAAAATGCACCGGGTCTTAATATAACAAGGATAGCATGAAACTGACCGTTAGAGGCAGAGGTAACACCAACATAAAAATGAACGTATAAAATGTCGTGGTTTTTTGTTGTTCAAGGAAAAGATAGGCAACAAGCAGACGGATAGTAAAGAACAGGAAAGGGAAATAAAACGAAGAATATGATCAGTTCCCCTCGTCACTGCGAAGGGTAGTAAACCGGCGGTTGAGGGTAATAATATCCAGTGCCCGGGGGTGTCATCATGCCACCCATTCCCACGACTCCTCCGGGTCCAGGAGGTGCAGACACAGCGTATGGGTTAGGATTCGGGTTCTGGTTGGGGTACATCTGTGATGCATCGTAATAGTATACCATGCCATCAGCTTCGTGGGCGACGGTTTGTGTTTGCGACGTCGGCTGCTCGGTCGTCGATGAGAGTGGCGCGGACATCATATACGGCACCTGTTGACCAGGCGGCGGGTATGGTGCGGCAGGCGCTCCAGGTCCCATAGCAGTACTATACGGTGGGTATTCGGCCCCTGGGACGGGATAGTATACGCCTTGCGGGCCATAACCTGGAGGGTAGAATGGTTGCGGTTGGGAGTAGTCGTATGGCTGGAACGGTTGGGCATGGATGGCCCGTTCGGGAATATGCGAGAAAGGTGTGTGGGTGGGTGGAGGAGCATCGGGCGGATACGCAACACCGTTGACAGGCATTGGAACCTGATGGTGGAACGGCTGTTCCTGCTGCGGTTGTGGAGGATTGAAGGTATAGGTCTCGGGAGTTTCAATGTCAGCTACAGAGACAGTCTTTTGAGGTCGAGGTTGGTGCATGGGAATAGGGTCCGAATGACTCTCGCGGTAAATGTGATGCTGAGGCTGTGGAGGCATAGAAAGCGGAACAGTGGGGGGAATGGCGCCGGGGCCAGAGGTAGCGGGCGGAAAGCCTCCTGGGGGGCGGGGTGGTGGTAGACGGACAACAGGCTTGCCGTTATCTGTAGTGATCATAGTCGCTCTCGATAGTACCGAGGCGGCTGGCGAGTGGTATCCCTCGGGTGCCCTTCCCAATGAAGACCTCCGGCTCAGAGCAACACTCGGGCTGTAGGCTGAGTTGGCGTAGATACTTGAACGGCGTCCACCAAAGAAACCACCCCGACCTCTACCGCGGAAAGCTTGTTGGTTGGGCCGCAACGCTCGTGGGATGAAGATGAAAGACCTTTCAGTCGATGGGAAGATATATCGGGGATTTTGACCAGGAAGAGAAATCCGGACAGGCTTGTCTCGCCTGAGCGGTGGGCGATGTTGAGGCAGACGTGTATGTTGCTTCTTTGGAACGGGATGAGCTTGGGTTGGTCGGGTCATCCCAGGGAGGAACACCACAACAGGCACATTTCCAATTAGGACAGTACTAGAGAACGACCTGTTCGGAGGCAAGGATCGAGGAGCAGTAGGAACGGGGTAGTTGGCAGGACTAGAGGTTGTGTTTGGTGTAGTGGAGGCAAGATTGGAGGCAGGTGGATCGTCTCCCGCAACTATATCGTGAAGATCATGTGTCCAAGGCCCTTCACTGGCGTCTGATTTGGTTTGGCTTCTATATGGAGTTAGCGGATACGTCCATGACCGTCTAATAATCCTGATGTTTGGTAATTCATACTTTTGTACGTTACCGTCTACAATGAGACCGTACGGCCTCGACTTGGACTTGTTGGGCGGCCTGCTGCCGTTCGTCCCCGGCTCCGTGGACCGCTTATCGTGAAGGAAGAAGCTACCCCGCGTAGGCACAAAGGCCGGGTTCTTGTCACGTTCTTTGACATATCGCTCGTTCTCACGACGCTTCTTCTCTGCAAATGTCTCCCGCTTGGGCTCAGTTGGTGGCCCGGATGATGTCCCACCCTCCTGCTGACCTGGCTGCTCTTTCATATGATCGAAATGGACCTCCGCAACCTGGCTAGAGTCTCCGGAAAGCTGTAGCCCGTTCAACATCGCCTCTGTGTCCGATACCGTCGGGTAATTCCCTTGCTTCCCCGGAGATGTAGCATTTCGACGACCTGAGCGCTGGCCCGATTTTGTGCCTGAACCGTTGACTTGGATATCGTTGACTTGATCTCCCTGCGGAGTAGCCGTAGATGCCTCGTCATCGCTCCCGTCACTAGCCTCAGCGTCGGCATCATCATCCTGGTGACTCACGTCCGAGCCTTCACTCAGCGAGTCATCATCTATTCCACCATCAACGGAGCCTTCCTCTTCGCCTTCGTCGTCCCTTCTCCTTCGCCGGATGGCGCCGATGTTGCGTCGATGAGGAGCCATTTGGAGGGGTAAAATGGTTGGAAAAGATCACCGGAGTATTTTCGTTCGTAGGATTATTTATGGCGATAGAGAGGGATTATTTTTGATATTCTGACAAAACTCCGTGAGATAGGTGTATCTATCAAGGAACGATGGCGACGAGGGACTAGGTTAAGGTAAGGCGGAGAGACGAACTTTGGACGAAACACGAGATCAAAAAGCGAACGAGAGAGAAAGTAAGAAACCCAAAATAGTAAGCAAGTGGAATAAGAAGGAGAAGAAGAAGTAAAGCAAGCGAGATTAGGAAGAGTAAGAAGAGTAAGAAGAGGAAGAGAGAGGAGAGGTAACGAGAGGATGGATTTGTGATGGTTTTCACAGCCATGACATCTCAAGCTGCCCGATCCGGTTTAGCGCCCTGATCTAGACTGTCTTTTGATAGACGCCAGAGTCTATACAGACCTTAATACTTCTACTTATACTATTTCTTAGGAAAGAAACGTACCTTTGTTGGGAGAATCTCTAGTATCTCGGAGCCAATTCCTATCCTGCAATAGAGTCTATCACGCACAATACAGTCAACACGGCGCCGGTGTCAACGGGGATCGGCGTAACGAACCAAGCTAACTACGTATGCTGATGACTAACCAGCTCTATTGACTAGTATGGACAGATTGAATGCGAATAACTCCATGAGAACACCCTACTCGTATATACACAAACAACTTTCCTTTTGGGTATCTGTAAGATGGCCATTAGTTAGCCGACAACAGCCTCTCAGTTCAACGACCATACAGCAGTCTAAAGCGCAGTATGCCGATTATATCCAGAAATTCTTGCAGCATTCGAGTCGAATAGCTAATCAAAAGTAACTTTTTTACCCTGGCCCTCGACAATAGCACCGCTGAGCTTCTGGACAGTTCCCTCGTCGTATCTAGAGTACTCTGGCTTCCTGACCTTCTTCGGCCGCGCGGGTGCTGACTGGCCACCGGTCGTATCCTCCTCAACCGCTTCTGACTGTTCTCCCCCAGCCTTGCCTTCCCCCTCCTTTCCGAAGCGTTTCTTATAACGTGTCGTCGGATCTTCAGCAAACTCCATCCTCATCCTTCTACCCATAAGCTGGTTAACCCACACCCTTCGCTGCTTGGGTTTCTTGGGTTTGGATCGGTTTCGATTCTCGACATCGGAGTCGGAGTCGGAGTCTGACTCTTCTTCGTCCTCTTCGTTGACCATGACATATCCCTTCACCGCTGCTTCCGCAGCTGCAATATCCTCAAACTCCACCCAAGCATAACCCTTGCATTTCCCGGTGTCCTGAAACGTGGCCATGTGTAGATGGGCCAGCGTTCCGCATTGACCAAAGTGTTCCTCCAGAGTTTCCTTGGTCACATCAAATCCGAGATTGCCGACGAAGATACGTCGCGAAGGAGTCTGACCACTGGCTGCAGCCGTCTTCGATCCCTGTCCATCCTCTTGCGGCTTTTCCGGTCTGCCCTCGAAACTCTTCGCATTCTTGATTAACACGCGGCGCCCCATGAACATTTGTTCGTTGAGGCCCATTGCCTCCTTCAGCGCATTGGGATGGGCGAAGTCGACGTAGGCGAAACCTTTGTTCTGCGCTTTGTTGAACCTATCCGCACCCTTGGGCATGTGAACGCGGGTGACTGTGGTGTCTGCGAAAGAACAATTGCTCGTGAAGAACTTGCGCAGGTCATCTTTGCTGATCGAGAAAGCCAAATTTCCAATCCAAACTCCATATTCAGATCGTGTCTTCGCGGCCTTCTCTGCCTGTTCTTTCTTCTGCTGTTCTTCAATAGCCTGTGCCGTAAGGTCGATACCCTGCTTTTTGGCTTTGCGCAGTGCTTTCTTCGAGGGAGGTTCCGGGGCGGAAACGTCAATCGCGAGCTCGTCTCCGGAGAGCTTTCGTTTTTTCTCGTTTCCTTCTCCAAAGCTGGCCATTTTGGATTGTGATCGTAATAAATATATGGAAGATTAGTAGAGAATTGTAGAGGGGATTGTCTCGATCGTCGGCCGGCGATGAAACTTTTTACGGCGGGCAGAAACGGCCCACTGCGCAGTCCGGTTCCAGACTTGGCAAATGAACTCCGATCGACAATCCATTCATCCATTTCCTTTGCTGGTCTCCTTGACCATCACCATCGTCAAAAAAAGAGGAATTCGTTTTGCGTCTACTCTTCCACAGTTACTACGGCCGGAATTCTACGATTCTACCTCGAGAATCCATCGCCATGTCCGGGACACACGAGTCGCAACCTGTACCGGGGAGCTTAGCGGAAGCCCCTGCGAAACAGTCCTACCGGTCTTTCAAGTACGGTTCCCAGCGCCTGTCATTCCAATAGAAGACACTAACAGGTGATTTTAGGAAGAAGTACGCCAAGCTCAGGATCAAATTCGAACTCGGGATCAAAGAAAGCGAGGAACTCGTCCGCGAGGAAATGCGTATCGAAGAGCTTTCTAAGCGAATCCAGGCACAGAACGAGTAAGAAGTCTTACCAGCAACGGAATAGCTATGTATGCAATAACTAACAGGGCGGTAGTCAACTTCTCGAGGTTTTGTTGGAGTTCAACGACAATCTTCACCTTTCACCTAGCCTGCGGTTCGGTCTGGATGCGCCCGATGACACCCCGTCTCTACCCACACCCGAGAGAGAGTTCCCTGCGTTCGATGATCCAGAATCAGCTACAGTGGCTTTACGCAGCGCGAAAGCAGACCTGGATGCTGGTAGGATTATGCCGGGTGATTATCGCGATTTGGAAGATGCCGTGAAACGAGGGCGCGCGTTTGCCCCGGAAAAGCAATATACTTCTTTGCTGAAGGTGCCACACACTTCGTCGCAGGCAGAGGAACAATACCTTGCTAATAGTGGGAACACCTCGGAGTCTCTGGGATATTTCAACCCAGACTATGAGAACGAGTATTATCTGGGCATTGACGCACGGCTAGGCGATGGATCGGCCGCTTTACAACTCGAACGCATCCCCAAGAAGCCAGCACCTTCAGATCGAGATAGTGAGGTTGCTGTACGCAACCCGGTCTCTGTCTACAGCTGGCTGCGACGGGAACAGCCCGGTATCTTTCGAGATGATGATAATGTGTCGGAGAAGTCTGCTTTACGGCCATCGAATCAGCGGTCTAAGAAGGCCCAACAGGCTCAGCAGGCCCGTAAGGAAGAGGACGATGAGGACAGCGCGTCTATTGACACCGTTCCTGCCAGCACTTCTAAGAATAAGCGCAAGCGTGATGATGACACCGGTTACCGGCCAAAGGGTGGTAATAGCCGTTCGCGCAAGAAGAAAGACGACGGTGGTGCTAGTTCCCGGCGTGCTTCGAAAAGAGCGTCCGGTGTTTGATAAACCAGATCTCTCCTTACTTTCTTTTGGCTGCTTGCGTGTATTACTACTCTGTCTTCTTTATTTTGATCTTCATTTAATCCTACATGATGCATTCATAATGATAATAATTCTGCATAACTCTTGATGGACCACTACATTCTCAATAAATACTAGAAGACTACCTGGATCACCTCTTTTCTTCCAAACCCCATCTCGCTCACAGGTTTCTGTATAACCACGACCTCCGCCTTCAAGCCCCATTCTCGCTCACCCACGCCGACAATTGTTCTGAAGGCAAAAGTCTGGTCCAACGTGGCAATGCACTCGTGTAGCTGTACATATAGACCTGCTGCGTTATGAAAAGCGCTTGCCAGGGTTACGTCGGGGCTTTCCCTGTCAACCAGCCTGATGAATTGGCGCACAGATGTGCTCTGTTCGGTATTCGTGCCTGTGGCCAAACTACTTCCAGAAGGCAGCATATGATTAGCTCGACTATAGGTCTTTTTCTTTAGCCATGTTATTTATATCAAGCTCTAAGAAGGATGTTAGCATACTCTATTTCTGGGATGGGAATCGATTCGTTGCATATCTAGATATCGTCTCATTCACATTGAATCTAAATGCTAAAGAGCGATCTCATTGCACTTGCATAAATAACATGTTTCCATATTCAGTTTGCTCCGAATGAGACCAGCGGGATTCTTCCAGTCCCCACCACTACTGTCTGATCCGATGTATCAGGGTATCAGGTCTCAATAGTTGCTTGCGTCTTTGGTAAATGGTCTAGCGTCGTCAGAGCCGTGGTTCGTGGCCTGCATATTGAGAATGAGATAAGACGATACTTTGTTGCGAAGGCTGCCAACTACCTGAGTGGCAGCGAGCAATTCACAGCGAGCATGAACCAGGTCTCCTGGAGATGTAGGCCCACGAGTCGTGGTAGAACAATATTGCATGTCGGGGGACTCCGTGGGTTCTGGGTGAGCGCCCGTCCATATTCTGATAGATGGCAGTTGTTAAAGATGGAGAACATGATTCCACCAGATACAGTTATCAGAGATAGGTAAAGAGACTTTTTACTATACGGGATGACTGGATCCAGGGCGCTTTTATTTCGGCCTTAGTTTAGAGAGCTCCTTTGCCATTAGTTGCAGCTACTATGAAGAAATGGCTGGAGGAAAGTCAAAAAATTGAAGGCGCGTAAAAAATTTACTGGCTAGTCGCTAATGCTGCTATCGTCATAGAATTTGCCTTTGCCTTTTGGCAAATAGATGTGATATGTGCCACAGGTTGATAATTTCATCAATTTTGAAATTGAAGTTGATTCCGGTTGAGCAACGGTTCCTCTTGAAAATACTAGATAGGAGCTGCCAGGCAGCCTGACAGGTATTCCAAAGCTGACAGTTTGTCGATAATGCTTTAGGCTGCGTTGGATCCTTTGGGGCTTGGGACATCGTGACAAATATAGTAATCAGGGAGAGAGTAAACGATTCAATAGCCCTAATAGGGATGATAACAACCCAGCATTTGGATATACCAGCACAACAGCTAGCTTAGCACGCTTTCGAGGGGCCAGAACCCACTGTTTTGCTGTAGTCGTTCATTCATAATTCACGGTTCCCGATCGATTCATCTGGTTAAGATCGCGTCCGAGCTGCGATATGGGCTCGTTTTTCTCTACTTCCATGCCTCCCAGAGACGTCCTGTTCATCTTTCAGATGATAACCTGCCTGATCTCTGTTTCGTCCTCCAGCTTCTCCAGATACTTGACTGCAGTGGCTTTGCGGTCAGGTCGTTGATGGTCTGGCAGCGGAAGACTGCTCTTCGAGGTGACCTGATGCTTCACATCTCTCCAGGTAAAAGTGTATCTCAAAGCCCGGGCCGCTTATGACTATAGTCAGGATTTGTGGAAATTGGTATTGTTGAGCTCGTCTGCCATTATTGTGTTCCAGCAAAATCATGCATGTTCGCAGTTTGGGGTTCATGGGACTAGGGGTGTCCGCGGGACGTAATGTGGAAGGATTACCTATTGAGAACCACATGCTGTCCACTCATCCTTTATGTAAAATCCCCCATAATTCGCGCACAATTTTCTTTGCAATATCTCCAGTATACGTATCCTTAACGCCTGCTTCCACCTTCCTCCCCTCGGATTCCTTAAGCTCGAAGAATATCAAGCGTCGCACGTGCAGGCGCTCGACTATTCGCATCGCCGGCATGCCTGGATTCTTCCTTAAACACATCAAGTGATACATTTGAGCAAATACGAGCAACTAAATGAGTAGTTTATATGGTTCGTTACCCTGTCGTCGACATTATACTCAACATTTAAGGCCGGAACCCGTCATAAGGTCGGAACCAGTCAATATAGACAGTCGTGTATTTTCCAACATAAATGAAACTCCCAACACCCACTAGGCTGGTTGTAAAGAGCTTCATCTTCATGAATCCTTCGTGGTCAGGTAGTTTTTGTTGGAGCCTTAAAAGATGCCTCTTGGCTTTCCATATAAGGGGGTCGTGATAGGCTCATTCTCTGGGTTATAGGTCCAAAGCTGCATGCAATCTCTCGATATTATAACTGGTGGCTCTGTAATTCAATAGGTTTATCATGTTCATAACCTGATCGCCTGCTGAGTGATATAGTTCAACACACAAGTGAATGTATGAGGTTAAACTCGTTTAGGATAATTTAGCACGCAAAATTGCCCCCGAGTTCCATTCAAGCCTTTTGAATGAGAGTGAGGCGGACAGAACGAGGCAATAGCGGATAAGTTCTTGGTATCCCACCGAAGTCAGAGTCTGCCTTAGGATTGCGGGTCTGAGCACGCTTTAGCAAGAGGGTGGTTGATACATCCGTGTATCACTCGATCAAATTTTGAAACCTCAATGTTTTTCGTCTCCCATGGCTTGCGCTGGTATTTTAATACCTCCTATAAGCTCTCTGAAGTTCAGCGACTGCTGTTTGGTACACAATGTTGACGATGCTTTGCTGAATGGAAGCAATACGGAGCCAACCTCGTAATTTGCCAATCAACGTGGATAAACAGCTTTTACCGAACTGTGTAAGGTAGACTCACTTCATTCTGTGCAAGTTACTTAGGGACGCGGTAGAGTGGCCCTTATCAACTACATGCTGAGAGTTATAATAAACGACGCGACGTGCATCGTACTTTAATGCTTGCTCAGCATATACGTTGACAAGACCGTGCGACTCGTGACTTCAGAGTGGATTCCTCGAAGCGGTTCGGCGAATGGGATATATAAACATAACATATATATTTACATCAGCGGATCGGTTGGTAGTTGACAGATTGAAACAGGAAACGAAGAGCCTGGCTCGGGGCTTCAATATGACAGTCCTGGTCACTGCCGGAGCGCAGAGGACAAACAAGATAGATATTTTCGAATCTCGGACAAAGACAATGGATACCCGTCTCACTTTCTAAGGGCCAAACAGATCTATTCCCGATTGCCGACAGGCTGATGCATTGATATATACTGTACAAAAACGCCCAAACGCTCCACGTCCCAATTATACAAATGGCATAACCATGTCACTCCAAACACATAACTCTGACATATCAAGCAGACCCCGACCTCTCAATCTGTGCCGCATTCCTCACCTGCTTCGCCCACCGTAACCCACAACTATTACATAAATCCCGATTCCCGCTCGGGCCCCGCCTCCACTCCGGCGTGTTCTTCGTTTGACACATGGCGCAGCTCTTGCCCACTGGCATCGCTGTTTGCTTCCGTTTGCGCTTCTTTCTTCGGGTAAGTAGTCGTTGAAGTTCGTCAGAAAGGCTACGGTTGCGTTTTTCGAGCTCACGGAGCTCAAATTGCCAGCTTGAGCCGCGGGTTGGGATGAGTTCGGGAAAGATTGTGATTTGTTCTGGGGAGGATAATTTTTGGCTGTCTGGAGGGAGGTGGTTTCCACTGGAGGCATTCACGAGGGGTTGCTGTTGGTCTGTGCTTGCTGATTTCGTTGGATCTCTGGCCGGTATCGACGTTGTCGTTTCCGTTGGCATTGGCTCCTCGCTAGACGACTGCGACGATTTTGGAAAACACATTTGGGCGACCAGAAATGAAGGTTTCGTGCCTTCTTTGGTGTCTCCAGGGAATAATACCGTCTGAGCCTGAACCATATGGCCTTTCTTATGACGGACTTGATGGGTAAACATCGTCCGTTGACCGTTTCGCGAGTTCTGCAGAGCCTGTTGCACCTCTGAGTAGCTTTCCGTACCCAACAAGTCTTTGAAGCTCGTCCCGACTAGGTCATCCTGTGTTCGGCCTAGAACAGGTCGTACTTTTGTGGAGATGTAAAGAATAATTCCCGAGGCAGATATCTTCGCCCAGACATCTGTCTCGCCAAGGGCCTCACTTCCTAACCTGGCAACTTGTCCGAGGTGGTACACTGGACGCTCTCTCCCGATGAACACGAGGAATGTCCGCCCTCGCCCTTGCTCCACATGCCATGCGCCATGGCTCTCGAACCAAACATAGCCACTGTATTTCTTGCGAATTCGATATATCACGCTTACCAGAGCTGTGGTGGTGCTAGTCCGAAGATCCCTAGTGACGGTGCCAATGTCACTGGGATGACAGACAGATGACAAAGTTTTATTAACTAACTCGAAAGACTCATATTCCAGGACCTTTTGACAGGACGGCGAGAGATAGAGGAATACGCCATCGTAAGATAACACGTGGATGATGTCATCTGCGTTCTCAACAAGGATTCGATCGAAGTAGTGCTTATATTCTGGCCGAGAAGCGCTGACAGAACGTAGAATGCTAGAAACTTGATCATGGCCAAATTGCACCGCTAGATCGGGATGGCTCTGGCGGACGTCAGACGGAGGCACCACGTAATTAGGTAACTGATTTCGCTTGTAATTGATCATGTAGGTTCCATCTATTCATATTAGTTCAATACTCTGTAATTTTCAGTGGAGGGAATGTACTTGGATTCTTCTTGGTGACAGCATCCGGCTTCTCCACCAAATCGACCTGGAAACCCACATAGAACCGGTATTCGTTCGAGTCCCAACGTATAGGAATCATCGTAACCAAATTAATGAATGGCTGTCCGCCTTTCCTGTAATTGATCACACTGACTTGGATCTCGTTTCGTTCTTCGATGGTTGTTCGCATTCGGTAAACAGTGTCGGAGTCGGCGAATTTTCGTTGCAGCCCAGGTTCTACTTTACCATCGGGACTTTGAAGAAAGCGACAGTTCACACCAACGATCTCCTCCTCGGAATATCCTGTTAACCGTCCAAAGGCCTCTGACATATACACGATTGGTTGATCATCTTGGGTTATGTCGCAGAGCACAAACGCACAGGATAAATCGACGGCACCAATATTGATTTTCGGGTCTGGTCTTGATATTACGCGAGCCTTAGAGGTCTTAGCAATGTATCTGGTTATAGCGCGCTCCCAAAGGCAAACCCTACCAAAACACCCAGTATATCAAAGCCACTTGTTGAATAGATATTAGTATAAGGCGAGGCTTCAATGTGCGAGTCGGATTTCACTTTTGCCGGGAAATTGTCTTTGATAGGCATTGACAGATCAGCAAGGTCCGGCTCCAGTATGCAGCAGAATACCCACCCTGAAATGGTTGCTTTTTTGGTTGGATAGCCCTCGGTTGCAACGTCCGCTGAGGGGCATATGACTGAGAATATACTTGAGGGCTCGGATACTGTCCCTGTGATACGGGTTGGTCCTGTTGTGGGGGGTGATAGTCGTCCATGCCCCAGTATGTGTTATGAGCTGGTGTCTGTGTCTGAAGGGTGGAATAGGTCGATTGAGGGTTCAGACCCATGTGCTGTGGTGTTAGTTGAGGAGGCATTGGATAGGTCGATAAATCGTAAGAAAATGCACCACCCGCATGCGGGTTCATGAGCATTGGGGTCTCTGCGCCGGACCAGGGATCATAGGAGATGTTGACGTTTGACAGACGGCCTTCCAGATTCGATCCCTGTGGATAGCCCACGTGATGCGAGGATTGCTGGTTCTGCGTCTGCAACTGGTTCATATGTGTCAAAGGGCCCGTGGGAATGCTAGTGCTCGTACTTGGAGTGCCACCCCGGAACACGCTGGGCTCTTGCGACTGATCGTAGACATTCTGGTAGTGACCAAAATCATATGCGCCTGATTGGGGATAGCCCATGAGAGAAGACGTTACCACGGGATCGCCGTCTGGGTCTTGAACGTGTTGCGGATCATCGTGATCTCGATTTGAGGCCGGCAAGGAGTAATACTGCAGGTGATAGAACTCATCGAACCCGCTCATAGCGCGCGACTGGATAGCTTGACAATGTACAAAAAAAAGTGTTTGGACGCCACGAAAACATCGGTAGACAGCACCAACGACTTTTATTTTTACGCGGCAAGCAGGGTCCAAAGCCAGGCCAGGGGCACCCAATCAAGCAGACGGCGGCAAATGGTAAGGGCCAAGCAACAAGCCGATCCCGATCCCCTTAGATATGATTAGATATGAGACTATTGAACGATCCGGTGCCCAAATATCTGCCCGAAGTGATTTCTGGGACCTCTGGCTGGTCTATGCAAGGTCATCCGCGAGGCAAATTCTGATATCAACCTGGTGGTGCCGGAGGGTTTTCTGAAGGCGGGCGGCAGATTTAAAAGGCCACCGCCAATGAAAGTGGCCGCCGAAGAGGAGGTAAAGGGCTCATTTGTGATGTATCACTTGACGGGCATAGGATAGATTGGACTCGGGGTGAAAAGAAGTCCATAGAGAGAGGGTGTAGAGAAGAATTGGAGGTCATTTTGGATTTCCTTTTGAGGTTATTCGGAGAAGACCAGTGATGTCAGAGCCGCATTGCTGCTGGATTGGAGTATACTTGTTGATTAGCTATGCCTTTTCAGACATGAAGCCAATATAGATACACGGAGATCTTCAGAGTATCATCCTCTATTCTGCACGGGGTATTCTGTACTCTATACTCTGCACCCAGTACTAGTATGACTTGGAGTCCCCTGAGTCCTTTTTTAGAAGATCACCTGATCTGAGTCCCCGCGGCCAATCACCACGCGTCGCGTTGAGCCCCAAAAGTTGGATCTCGCAAAAGAGATTGAATTAGAAACAAATGGGGGAAGCAGAAACCAGGGGGAAAAAATAAGAAAAGAAAAGAAAAGAAAACCCCCACTGGACAACGACGGACAAAAAGAGTGCGAAAAAAGGAAGCATAGCATAGTAGTAGAGACACGCGATGATCCAAATATCTCTTTCTTACTATGTACACTACGGGAGTACTATCATGTATGTAGTTATCCAGGGGGCTGTCGCGTTCTCCCGATCCTCGATTTGAATCCCTTGCGGTGGTTTTTTCTTGTTCTTTTCTTTTGATAGCTTGCGACTATACATTTGAAGCTTAAATAAGAGTCCTTGCAGTTGAATCTTTTCTCTGTCGTTATAAAAGCCTGGACCGGTCCTTACCCTTACTCGTGCTGCAAATTCTCCCCCATTTCTTCTCCGAGTTCTGACATTCACTTTGATACTACACCTATTTTCAACTTCCTTTCTACAATTTTTTTTGCGTTGCATAGCTACTCCCACCTCCTTAAATATCTCAAACAACGGGCCACAATCAACCAATGGCTGAAGCTCCGGAGAAAATATCCATCACCATTTGCGGGGATGGTGGATGCGGTATGCCTTTGATTAAACACCGGGAGAGAGGCCCAAGGGTGCTAATCGAGGACGGATAGGAAAATCTTCCATGACTCTACGGCTGGTACGCAGCCAGTGGGTGCATGAGTGAGTTGCTTTGGAAACAACAACCCTTTACTACAAAAACAAACTGACGAGATCAGGTACGACCCTACAATTGGTAACCACCCATTTCAATCCTCGTTTACTTTACCAGAGCTCATCCCTAACGTGAGGTGCAGAAGACTCATATTCCGTAACACGTACTATCGATGGCCTCCCTTACTTTCTCTGCATAACCGACACCGCCGGCCAGGAGGAATACCGTGGGTTATGGGCCGCATCCAACCTCAAGTCGGACGCCTTCCTGCTCGTCTACGATATCACAAACGAACTCAGTTTGAGCGCATTGGACTACTTTATGGAAATGATCCATATGGAATCAGATCAGCGAGAAGAGGATAACTATCGTCTGCGGAAGGAATTGGGTGCGAGTGCTCGAGGTGTCGATGTTGGGATGCCGCCCCCGATCATCATGTTGGCGGGTAACAAGTGTGACTTGAAAGAGAATCGAGTTATTGGGTCAAAAGCAGGGTTGGAGTATGCGCGAAAGCATGGCTGTGGGTTCATGGAGACGAGTGCTAGGGAGATGGTCAACATCGAGGAAACTTTTGCTCGTGAGTATACTTGCATGACCGCATGTTGATCTTCATCTGACGATAATATAGTCCTGGTCCGTCGTGTAGTCGAAGCCCGTCAAGAACATTACTCCAAGACCAACCCAGCAAGGGGGTTAAAATTGACATCCATCTCGCCAAAGAAGGACAACAACAATACCAAAGACCAAAGTAGATTTATGGGATTCGGTAGGCAAAAAGAAAAGACAAGACCGAAGAGCGTATGGAACCGGATGTTGTGTTGTTGATTTTGATTTTCCCCTCTCCTTCATTCAGTTTGATATACCCTTTTTTGCTTTATGATATTCAGCAGATGCAATGAATGGCGCAATGGCGTACTCGGACATGCATATCGGAAATAGCATAGCATTATCAATAGGCAGGTCATCGATTATTATGGCTTGAGTTGTCAGTCAACCGGTCATCTCCTTGATATACACAACCTTAGCGAGCTGTCATAACCTGATCAGCATTGCAGATAAACACCGGAAGGAAGTTCCGCCTTTTTATGTTGCAAAAAAACCCACTCAGATCGACTGTCATGACGCGACGACTCTAGATAAGCAGTGGTGTCAGCATGAAAAAAAAAACTCTATGCACCCAGGGTTACCAGCAGCTTTTTTGTTGTGTTTCATTCTTGATTGAGTTCAACGCCATACTTTGACTTTGACAGACCAGGTTCAAGCAGTATCTCCGTGCTATGAACGGCGTTCGGATCATCGATCGGGATTGCAGGACTAGTCCCCGCGGGGATCGGCCAATGAGTAAGGGTAGAGTTGGCGCAAGAGTGAAGTCAATTCATCGTTCAGCATCTGTTTTCGATCAAATATAATATGTCTATCTGTATGTTTCTGTATCTTTCTGTATGGGTTGGTGTATGGTGAACTCTGTGGTAACGTCATGGACTGCTGTCATGGTGTGAGATGCAATGAACTCATCTAAAGTAAAGTACTGTGTCGTCTCTTCGTATATATCGTTCTTGGGTAAGAGAGTACTCCGTATAGCCAGAGAGGGAAATATTGATACCTGAACAAATCGCTCGAGGGATATGGTCAAAGAAAGGAAAACGGCAGCGGTTTGCCGAGCGATCGCCGAGCATAAGCCACTTGTGCACACAAATTATGCATAAGCGGGGACGTCTGTATCCATTGGATTGTATTACCAATACAGTACTGAGCCAAGGCTTGGTTTTATGACGTCTGGACTGCGATGTGTTGATCTCATGAGTTTGTCAAGCTAGACCAGAGTATGTACAGGGGTATTTAGTGTTGAGATAACCTGATATAAGCTTACCAGTACTCCGTGCTCTATGGGGCAACGGTTGCTTTTCGAGGAAAAGAACAGGATGGATATACGGCTATACGGATATAAAACATAGAAGACAGAAATGTGCATTGCTAATCCATCCGTGGGACCGCCGAGATCCGATCCAAGGTCCGACTTCCCGAGCGAAAGACTCCGTGTTATGCGACGGTACCATTACTTACCGTACGGTACTGGGTGGACCGACAGTTTACTAGTCCTAGTAGCAGGTTTAGCAACTTTCCAGGGAGAGAAAATGGATTCCATAATCATAATCTAATCACTAATTAGGATCAAAGGATAAAGAAAATTCAGGAAATTTTATTTATATTAAATAAGAACCCCAGTTCCAGCTGTGTGTCAAGGTGTCTGTGTGTTTCTTTAAAACGAGCAGTCCCCGGCTGAACTACTTTGTATACTTCTCTCACTTCCTTTGCTTTCTCTCTTCTCTCTATAACTACTACTGTTCATCTTGACTACGGGTCATTCATTAATCATTTGCTTGTTACTCTGATACCATCCATGCTCTCTATAACTCATCCATCGCCTTGATATCACCGTTATCACACCGATTGCCGATCTTCTACCATACACTCAACTACTATCGACAAGAGGATAAAAAGAGGGAATACAACAACATAATAAATTATACACAATGACAGCCCGCCATTCAACACCAACATCAGACCACTCACATTCCGACAATGTTCGCAAGAGGGTCTGCAAGGCATGTGATCGCTGTAGATTAAAAAAGTCCAAGGTAAGCAATTCGAATTAACAAGAGTTACAACAGCATCAGTCTCTGATGCACTGACCCCTACAGTGTGATGGCGGCAGTCCGTGTGGTCGATGCAGGGCAGACAATGCCATCTGCGTCTTTGGCGAGCGAAAGAAGGCCCATGACAAAGTGTACCCCAAGGGGTGAGCGCACCTAGCTTGTCTTTGCGCAGTTTACTGGGAGGGTTCGATTTGCTAACCATACGTTATTGATAGATACGTTGAGATGCTTGAACAACAACAAACATGGCTCGTCCTCGGCCTACAAGAAATGTACCGTCGTTCCAACGAAGGCGAAGGCTGGCCCGGAGAACCACTACGATGCGAAGCCAACGGCCACCCGCTAACCCACGATCTACTTACCCGGTTAGGTGCTCTAGACCACACCAAGGGCGAACGCTTCGAGGAGAACACCGAAATCATGCAGCAAGAACTGTGGAGACGCAACGCCATGCAGCGCCAGGATTCCTCGGACGCCAGCTCGGAGAGTGCCGCTCAGTCCCCCGTGGTCTCGTCTCGTTTCCCCTCCGATGTCTTTGGTGCTGCCTCTACTGCACCGCCCCAACAGCAGCTGCCTCCCACGCCGCCAAGTTTCAGCCCGTCATCTTCGCGCACCGCACAGCCTACTCCTGTGATTAAACAAGAGCCTCAGCAGCAACCGCAACATCAGCAAATGCAGTCGCCGATGGCACCGAATAATCCCGCATATGCAGCCCAGATGTCGATGCAGGGTGTGGTCAACCCCATTGCATTGCAAGGACCTCAGCCATGGCCAAACAATAATGGGTTTGGCGCCTTCGATGAGATGGACCTGTTAGGGTCTGCGGATTATACGAATATGTCCTTCGATGACCCGATGTCCTCACCAATGTTCAATCGCCAAATCCCGATTAACTGCATCGGGCTGGATAATACGAAGAATGATTACGAAGACTTCAATCAATTCTTGAATCCCAACCCGACAGAAATTACATCGATTTGAAACGCCATTTAAAAAAAAAAAAAAAAGGTATCACCTCCCGGTGTGATATTATTACTACTATTTTGATAACGACGTGACGCATGTATACTATACATGATTATTTCTTCTTTCTCTCCTTTTTTCTGCTTTGATTTACCGGGAGGGCCTTTGATTCAATGTACAGGGTTTGAGTGGGTTATTTTGTCTGCCTATTGGTGCGGTGTCTGGAGTTGGATTCAAAACGGGTTCGAACACTCTAGGCGTCAGTCTTGTCTTCTTGTCTTGTCTTGGAAACTGGTTTTCTTTTCGATAGTTCCCCTTTTTATTGAAATGTCACTGTTATAACATTACCTATACTCAGTCATCGGAGAGATTACTTTATTCTAGGTCTATAACACCGTTTCCGTTTCCGGCAACACGAATCATTCTGACGGAGACTTTTTTTGTCCTGGAGTCGGGGCAATAAGTGGCCGACCGCCGAACCGAGGCCAGGAACGGTGGAGTCAGCATGACGGAGAACGCCTCTTATCTCCGTATCCATGACCTTGTGATTATGTAGAGCACAAAGAACATCGTTAGTCCTAGCGAACTACACAGATCGGAATCCAATTGAATTGCTGACCATTCCAATATCACAGAGAATAAGGAACAAGTTCGATGGTGATCTTTATGCTGTACTCGTACTCGTAGAGAGGTACGCTGGAGTCATGTAAAGTACTATGCAGTCCCACAACTGTCAAACGGCCCGAAGTGCCGACCAGCTGGATGTAATATTACAAGCATGATCCGTATTCCGATTACATAAACTTCCTCGGCAGCAGTTGCTCCGTAGTCCGTCGGAACTTGTGTCCTTGTTGGGGGTCCGGTTTCCGGATTTTACCCTTTGGGTTAGCACGTGGGCTTTTCTCTTGCTAGCATGTTACTCCGGAGTCGTTCATGATCAATGCAGGGTGTTGTCCATGTACAAGTACAGTAGTGTATAGTGTTGGATCCATTTACAGAATAGGTTCTTTGTGTGTTGCGGTTGAGTTGGTATGATACTCTGTATTCAAAGTATGATTCGTGTTGACATGCAGGTCTAGACTTATCTCACTCTGACATGCTACAAATGTCATCAGTCTGGATCTGATCTGGTCTGGTCCCTGACCCAGCCCGACTCCCGGTTCGCGGCACTCGTACCTTCCTCATCGGGGCATGCACATCAGGTGACTGATCCTATGGTGAATCATAGACGTCTACGGGATACAGTGTGCCTTGAACTGCTCCGAACCGATCTCCCGTGCCCCTCGCCCTGAACCATGAATCTGTACGGCCCGATATCAGCCTTCTTTGATTCCTATGATCACTTCTGTGCGAGTAGGTGCCGGTTATGGATTGAATGACGAAATTCGCCCAGTAGAGGATGGTTCCAGCCGTGAAGGGGTGGCGAGGTGGGGGTTTTGAATCGGGGTTGTGGGTAGATCAGGGAGTCGCTGGCGGTTGTTTGTTCGAGCCCTGCGGGACAATGTTCTTCATTCGATGGCCAAGACAATAATAGGCGAGGTGCTATGTATCAGCAGATCCTGGTTTTGGCAAGCGGTCGATCAGCTAAGGTGGGAGTTATCTCACGGCATGCTGTGATGAGGATCATCTAGGGCTGTAATGGGATATGATGTGCGGTAGGTCTGCGTGGGGTCCTCCGGATCGCGCATGTCCACCGTATTTCGCAGCCCATCGACCGTTTCAGGACTTTACGAGTTCTCGTAGCGGGGCGGAGATGTTCAAACCCGTGTTGAGGTTGGTATGGCAGGCGATATCCCAGTACTTCTCATGCTCTGCGTCGGTTATTGTGTGTATCCAATGGTTACAGTGTTGGCTTCCATGACTCCGGTTAGGTTTACGAGACGGCTTGGCCAGGCTCCGGTAGCGATGACGGTTTTCACGGCGTATCCGCTTCTATAATTACCCCCTTCGACATTCTTATCATCGTTGTATAGGAGACGCTGAACGGGTGTTTCCGAGAGGCTGATATCGGGCTTGGAACGAGTACGCTCGAGATATGCCTGGACCATTTTCTCCGCGCCGACAGCGCTTGATGGTGTATTCCTTAATCCAGCATCGTTCACAGCCTAATTGATGAACAGAGACTGGAAGACCTTCTCAGGGGTGTCAAAATGATCCCAATAACGATGCGGGTTGGCCCGGACAAGAACCTACTGCTACAAGTTCTCCATGGAAGCTTCTTTTCTGCCCGTGCAGAAAGCGATCTCGTGTTAGTAGGGTTGGAGATCATGATCATTTTGCTTATCTCGCGGACCATTTTGCCCAATCGTTGATATTCTTCTTCCACGTAGTTTGTAAATATTAGTACCAAACTTATAGGAAGAGCAGATTTCTACCTGGGCAGATAATTCGACTAGTCCCCATCAGGAACCGGGACATCTGGTGATCTATACCGATACCTTTGGTTGGGGGGAATAATATCGGTCAATTGCCAGATTCTTGAAATGAGGACATTGTCATGGATATGCTCAAAATTGCATCCAAGATATGGCTGGATATACTACTGTTGGCCATTATCATTGCGGATACCATAACCACCCAATTCTTGGATTCCTTATCCGCAATAGACTACACACGATTGATCCTTTACAGGTCAGGGCTATTTGACTTATGATAGCCAATGCATCATCCTGGCCAGTCAGCCTATATTATACCACCGCTCGAAGGGCTACTACGGGCCAAGCGCTGAAGAAGAGCAGCCGTATCAGAACCAAACCAGGTTCTTATCCAGACTGCAGCCGATTCAGCATCAATGCTGCGGGATTTCTTTCACCCTTGTCAACAGAATCTTCTACGTAATCCCTTCACATATTCATAATAAATGAGCTCATGGGCCATAGGACAAATCCTCCCCCAACCTCGAGCATGTGCCAGATGGACGTTCGTCAATGCAATTGTTGGATATTGCAGAATCATTTTGAGTTTGATGCAAATATTAAAGGAGATTGGTTGTGGGACTGCTCTTTGTAGTTATGTTGATGGTAGATTCCGGGGATGTTTTGCGGGGTTGTCTCACTGGACGTCATGCCCCGCGATAGCTCCATTATTTTAACACCTACCACACAAAAACCTCCCTTCCCAACTCATTTACGTCTCAACGCCAACAAAAATGACCCAAGAAGCCGCCTTCAGCTTCCTTCCGCTGGGAGCCATCATCCAAGAGTTCCGCATCGCGGACCAAAACATCGTCCTCGGCTTCAACACCCAAGAGCAATACGAAAAATACAACACGCCGCACTTCGGCGCCACCATCGGCCGCGTCGCCAACCGCATCCAGGGCGCTGTAATCCATAACCTCAATGGCCGCGATTACTTCCTTCCCAAGAACAATGGGCACAATTCGATCCATGGAGGTGAGAAGGGGTGGGGGCAGCGGGTTTTTGATGGACCGCATACGGTGAAGAGGGATGGGAAGGATGCGTTGTTATTCAAGTATCTGAGTCGTGATGGGGAGGAGGGGTACCCTGGGACTGTGGAGTTGAGGGTGTGGTATGCGGCTGGGAAAGAGGATGTGAATGGGGCAAATCCGAAGACAGTGTTGACGGCGGAGTATGAGATCGAATTTGTGGGTGATGAGTGTGAGGAGACCGTGGTCAACCTTACCAACCATAGGTAGGTTTTCACTCTCTGTACAGAGTATACAAGTACTAACGATATAGCTACTTCAATATCGCTGGCACCTCAACCGTGGAAGGCACCCAAGCCCAACTAGCCACCAACGACTATCTCCCCCTTGACGACACCGGCATCCCAACAGGCGAAATCACCAAATTTTACAAAGATGTAACCAGCCCCTTCGGCCTAGGCCCCTCAGAACCTCACATCGACGACGTCTTTGTGATGGAAAGCGATCCCTCCAAGATCGCCCTCGACACACGCACCCAGCCCCTCAAACGCCTTGCCCAGTTCCACCACCCAATCACCAACCTGCATCTCGAAGTCCATAGCACCGAGCCAGCCTTCCAGCTCTACACGGGCAAATACATCGACACACCGCAGGTGGAGGGGGCACCGGCGCGCGGAGAGGGCGCAGGGTTCTGTGTTGAGCCGAGCCGGTTCGTTAACGCGGTTAATGAGCCGGGATGGCGGTCTATGGTTGTGCTGAAGCGGGGGCAGTTATTTGGGTGCAAGAATGTGTATAAGGCGTGGAAAGCGTGATTTGCTTCGTTATTGGACCCTCTTTTCCAGGGTCGCCTGACTCATATTCACTCATTTTGAATATTCATATCCACCAGATCCACAATGAGAACTTTCTGGGCCCGTTTTGCGTCTTTTCATAAATTTCGCATTCTCAGCTGATCGGATTATGTTCTCGAATCCGGCAATGCTTCTAGCGCTCCGAAACGGTGGTTACCAGTGTTTTCCAGTATTGTAACTTACGTATTTAACGGCGATAATAATAATCTCCGGATCTCGGAGTTTAAACACGATTCCGCGGGTTTGTAGATCACGTGCGCTTCCGCACGTGACTGGACTCGCCCCCCCGCGCGGGGTGAAAATCATCAGTAGCTTCCATTCCAGCATACAGATAGATACAAAATTGCATTCATGACTTATCTATAATCCCCTATTTCACGAATCACGATCGCGAACACGATCACTACAGAGAACTGTACATATCCCAATATATTACCTACAGCACATATTAAACCGCATTCATCACCATGACGTCCGCATCCCCATACGGAGACCTCCGTCACCTATTGCCGAATAATTACAAGACGCTGATCACGGCTTGGCTCGAGGAGGACACCCCTAGCTTTGACTATGGTGGCTTTGTCGTTGGTGAGTCGGAGGGTGAGGCGCGATTACTTGGGAAGAGCGAGGTATCTATCTTCTACCTTAGGGTTTTAGAGGAAGACAGACTAAGAGGAGTAGGGTGTAGTAGCTGGTGTTCCGTTCGTCAATGAGGTTTTTTCGCAGCTTGGGTGCACGTACGTTACATTCAATCTCCCATGAGACCTGAGAATGCGTATGCTGATAAGAGCAGTGTGGAATGGCATATTAAAGAAGGCCTCCCCCTCAACCCGAACCCAACCCACCACTGCGCCACCGTCCGCGGCCCAATCCGCAAAATCCTCCTCGGCGAGCGCGTCGCCCTAAACATCCTCGCCCGCTGCTCTGGCATCGCATCCAAATCTGCCTCCCTGCTCGCCGCCCTCCGCACACACGGCTGGGCCGGTACCCTCGCAGGAACCCGCAAGACGACACCCGGGTTCCGGATTGTTGAAAAGTACGGTATTCTGGTTGGAGGGGCAGATCCGCACAGGCACGATCTGAGCCATATGGTTATGCTCAAGGATAACCATGTTTGGGCTTGTGCGAATAACTCTGCTGCGGCGGATGGGGGCAACAGAGCTGTTGGGGAGGAGTCGATTGCGGCGGCGATCCCGAGGGCCGTGCAGGCTGCTAAGAGCGTTGGTGGGTTTGCGACGAAGGTTGAAGTCGAAGTGAGGAATCTGGAGGAGGCGAATGCAGCGATTGAAGCTGGTGCGGATGTTATCATGTTGGATAACTTCACAGCGGACGAAGTTAAGGTTGCTGCAAAGCAACTTAAGGAGGAGTGGGCGGCTAAGGGGAAGAGGAATGCGTTCCTGGTGGAAGTTAGTGGGGGTTTGACGGAGGCGAATGCGGCTTCGTTTGTTTGTGAGGATGTCGATATTTTGTCGACAAGCTCGATTCACCAGGGGACATCTATTGTAGACTTTTCATTGAAGGTATCGTTGCGGTAGGTATGTTACATTACATTGCATGAACGTATATAGACATGTTTACATACTCTGCATGGTTGCACAGTTAAGATCGAGTCAATACGAATGCACTCTTCACGAACCAGCAGAGTTTCCAGGGGTTAGCCCTGATGAACGAACATAATAACGTGCAAATACTGAAGAGTCGATTTTGATCCGAACAGTGATGAAATCAATACTTCTGACAAGATCTGCTTTCTAGCATTATATGACACAGAAATGCGCATTGGCCATGATTGTTACATTATTACTGCATATCTAGTCTTCGTGTCCTCGTTGCATATGAGGGGGTTGGAGAAGTCAGCTAAGCCACAAGACCCTGCACTAACGTGCTGAGTATCATTGGATTAGAATTATTTTGTAGTCGGTTTGCAGGGTGTATTTGTTGGCTTTTACGTATGGCCGCCTGACTTTGTATGTACTACGTGTACGGAGTATGCAACCATGCATAGGGCAATGATATCCCCAGGGGATACAATAGGCCCAGGGATATGATAGGTCAGGTGTAGGTAAATGCTTACTATATTTTAAGTATCCTCATTTGATCTATTTGTCATCTCTATCCTGCAATGATTTTCTGATTTTGTTATTTGATGGGCGCCAGCTGAGGCTGGTTATTCATCTAATAAATGCTCTAGTCCACAGACCCATGGATTTGAGTCTAGACCTCGGTTGCTATCTCTTCTCAGTGGTACAATGAGACCCAGTTTGAATGTGTGATTATCACTGCAGAAGTTACTGTTGTTGATCATGCATCATTACCTTCTTCATCACAGAAAAAATATAACAAAATATGGCCAGGAAAGACCAAACCAATAGCACTGACGGGTTACATAAGTGATGCTGAACCTCCGCTCTATGTTGGCCTTCTTACACCATTAAAATGGGCGGCGAATCTCACTACTTGACCCAACTTTATAGGGCTGCTAACTCCTTTCCAGCGAAAGGTTTTTTGAGTGGCTTATTCGCGTGTTACGCTATCAACAAGGCAAGCTCTTTATTGTCTCACTGTGTTCTCAATAACTGGCATCCGGCAGAGCCATGGAACTCCCAGCAGGAGTTGGTGCTTATTACCGGTGGGAGCAGTGGTATTGGACAGACGATCGCCGAGGAATTATCGGAGAGGGAGGTCAAAGTAGTGATTATTGACATTCAGGAACCTGAATTCACCCATTGTAAGTGCCTGATGCCATGATCTGTGTTAAAACCGAGTTTTGACTGACATCTTTAGCCCCGAATATCTACTTCTACGAAGCCGACGTTACAAGCACCGATAGCATCAAAGCAGCAGCAGATAAAATCAGGGCAAAGCACGGCCATCCAACCGTCCTAGTCAATAACGCCGGCGTCTTCACCAACGATACCATTCTAGATGAACCAGAGTCTATGATTTGGAAATCCTTCAAAGTGAACACACTCGCCCACTTCCTGACGGTCAAGGAATTTCTTCCTAGCATGGTGCGGCACAACCACGGCCATGTTGTTACAATGGCTAGCATGGCTAGTTTTATTACTGTTGGTGAAATGGTTGATTATGCTTGTACTAAGGCCAGTGCGTTAGCTTTTCATGAGGGTCTTTCACAGGAAATTAGGCATTGGTATGGGGCGACTCGGGTTCGGACAAGGTACAGTAGTTTCTGTTTTGCCAGGTTCCCTGATTACCAGATCTGACCCGTTTTCTACACTCTAGTATCGTTAATCCACTATGGGTCCGAACGCCTCTTATTCGGAACCTCACAGACGCCGGTGATTCTTTTGGTCAGCCCATTATGGATACCCGGATGGTGTCTGCTGCCGTGGTCAAGCATATTCTCGAGAGAAAGAGTGGCTCGATCATCTTACCTGCGTCCAGCTCCGTTGCTACTTTCATTCGATCGCTCCCTTCGTGGCTCCAGGAATGGTTGAGAAATAGCTTTTCGTTGAAGGTCATGAGAGTGCGAAATGAGTTTTGGTCACGCGAGCCATCACTTTGATTGTTAACCATAGGTAAATAAGCTGCAGTAGAAAACTACGAGTCATGAAAATGACATTAAATTCATATAGGCATGTATATACACCTAACTTATGCAATAAATAAAGTCCCCCACATCAGAACTAAACACCATAACCGGAAGGGTATATAGCATATTTAACAAACACAAGTACAAACGCATATAGAAATAGTATCCGAAACAAAGATTAAACTTCAATATCAACATAGAATCCCGTCCCCTCGCTCGAACTATGATCATCATCTTCATGTTGATCACCGGACTGAATCCTCCCAGCATACTGCTCATCCGCCGCAGCGAGACTCCGTCTAGCACGCTGCTGTCTCTCAATCTGCGCGCGAAGGCGTTGGTTCTCCGCATCGCGCTCTTCGAGTCTTTTGCGTGCACCGCCGCGGTCTAACAATCTAGCTTCGCGTTCCGCTTTAAGCCGCTTTTCGAGTTCGCGGAGACGTTGAATCCATTTCTCGCCGTTGCCTGTGTCTGTGGAGCCGTGACGGGCGCGGTTGCCGTGGACTAGGGCGCCTTGTTGTTCGGCTAAGGTTGTTGCGGAGGAGAAATGGGATGGTTGCGGAATGCCGGTTGTTGTGGAGCTTCGCACGAGACCTCTTTGGAGGTCAGCTGCAGAATCGCCGTTGTTGCTCTCGTGTGTTGGCGATGTAGGCTGTGCTGATGACCCTGTGACAGGTCCGCGACTGCGGGAATGCGATTGGATCAGGTTGAGTTCTGCCTTTAGCAATCGGTTCTCGCCGCGCAGCTTGGCTATCTCTGGCGACGTCCCGGATTGGTTTTTGCTATGTTGCTGGGCGCGTATGTTCATGATTCCTTCCTCGAGACGATCGAGCTTCTTCACCCGTAAGCTGAATGTGTGCTCCAGGGTCTGGTATTGCTTGGTTAGATCCCGCTCGACGCTCTTGATTCGGTTCTTGAATCCCCCAATCACCGCCTCCATTGTCTTAACAGCGAGCATTAGATTGCGGCTGAACCCAGGCCAGAAGAGAATGTTACCGATGACTTCTTGGCTGGGGAGGTTGCCGTTGATGAGGCTGTTGGAGTGTGCCCAGTCTGGACCGCACATGGCAGACAAACGTTTCCAGATGGTGAGGAGCATAGCGTTCCGTTCACTCAGCTGATCCTTGAATTGCTGCTCTAGACCCGTGAAGCGTTTGTGGTCTTTACTGCGTGCTTGTTCAAGCTCGGTGATGCGCGAGTTGCTCTGCGTGATGCTGCGGGAGGTCTGGTGGTGGGACTTGAGTGCCTGTTCGAACGATTGCTTGTCTGCCCGGCGAGCATGGCGCTCGCGGTCGAGAAGTTCGGATAGCTTGCGCGATTCCAGACCATGGCTCTCAAGAAGGGCATCGCGGTTCCGCAAGAGCGACTCCTTCTCGTCCAGCTTCGAGCGAGTACTCTCGAGTTCTAATGCCGTTGACTCGAGCTCCTTTTGTAACTTGACAATGTTGGTTATGAGGCTAGAGCGGCTACCAGTTAGGTCACCAAGCGTCTCCCGGAGGTTGTTCTCCAGGTCCAAGAGTCGCTCCCGCCAGGTAGCAGTCTCGACTTCTTGGGCAGATAAAGCCTTCCTGAGTCTTCGCAACTCATCCTTGGCAGAGGACGACTCGCGGTTCAATTCGTTCACGATCCGCTGGACTTCCTGCTTTTCTTTACCTCCAACAACCTCTCGCTGGTGTCTCTCTTCCGCCAGGCGGGCTTCCAGCTCTCTGGTCTTGTCTCTTTCGCTACCAAGGTTGATCTCGTGAGTCTTCAGGTCTGACTCGAGATCACCAATCTTGATCTTATCCCCATCTTGCTCTTCGCGCAGGAAGGCAATTTCATTGTGGCTCGATTCGATCTGCACAGTAAGTCGCTGGACCTTGGTGTTAGCCTCGTAGAGGTTCTGCTCCAACTGCTCCATCTCCCGATTCGAGTCTTCAAGTTCTTGCTGAACTGCCTTGTACCGCTCCAAGTTGTTCTGCGCATCTTCTTCGAGATGAATAATGCCCTCGCCAGCCGAACGCATCTCCGCTTGCAATACTTGAAGGCTCTCATCCTGACTCCGCACTTCCTCGTTTAAGCGCTGGCACTCTTCTACCTTCTGCTCCAGCTCTCCGGCGAGAGCATCGAGTTCTTCTTGGGCTTCCGCTCTGAGATCCTGGAAAGCGGCGTCACGTTCCTCAGCCATTTGCAGGGCTTGGTCACGCTCTTGTTGAAGGTTTTGGATTTCTTCTTCTGCCTGCTCGACATCAGCCTGGTAGGCCTTGTCAAGTGCTTCGAGTTCTTGGGTGTATTCTTCCAATTGGTCTCGGGTTGTTTGGTTCTCCAATTTCAGCATGGAAACCTGATCACGCAGTTGTCCATTTCGAAGCTCAAGTTCCTCCCGATCAGCTTCATCTTCCGGGGACATTTCACTAGTCCGCGAGGAAGACCTTCCATGTGCTCGCGAAGCCGAGCGGTCAAATATGCTGTCCCCAGCAATCGACCGACTTCCCTCACGGCGTTGCCCAAGCTTCAGCTCCTCAATCTCCTGGTACAGACGTTCCTTTTCTCGGTTTCGAGACGTGAGCATAGATGTCTGCGCACTGACTTCCTTTCTTAATTCTGCATTTTCTTGCTTCAGGAGCTCCAGCTCTATCACAAGAGTACCGCCACTCGAGTTGCGGTTGAACTCCCGGTCTGTCGTGCTTGAGTAATAGGAAACCCCTACGAGCGTCGGGTCGCGCTGGCCTGACCTAGCACTGCCCAGTGCAAACTCCATTTCACTTCTCAAGCGCAACGTCTCATCGTGGAGAACCTTGTTTTCTTCCTCTGCTTGCTCACGCGCGGCGGTCTCTGCATCAAGCATATCCTTCCACATATCCTGAGATTATCAGCATGTGACTAGAACAGACAAGAAGTCGGCACACTTACCCTCTCTTCCCTCGACTCAACATCAGAGCCAACGGGCCTACCATTGCTAAGCGATTTGACCATCTCAGCAAGCCTTCTCTTCTCAGACTCCCTCGCGATGCTTTCTGAGCGAAGACGTTCAATTTCAAGTTCATAAGTCTCCATCCTTTCTTGTAAATAGAGTATCTCTTCATTTTGGATCGAATCACGTTGCTCATCATCCGAGCCTTCAGGATCATGATTCACCATGGACTCCTTGTCTGATTGTTGATCCTTGATTTGCTTCTCCAGATCACGAACTTTTCTCTTGAGGCCTTGATTATCCTTTTGTATCTTCAGCTTATCCGACTTCAACTCCACATTCTCCGATATCATCTCCTTGATACCCTCTTCCGAGCGTTTATTCAAGGCCTCGTTGAGGAAATGGATCCTCATCTTCAGATCGAAGTTCTCCTTTGACAGACGGTCGATCGTACTACTCTGCTCTTTGAGCGTCATGCTCCGACCACTCCTTCCAAATGCCGGGGTGGAAGTTGGCCCTGTGCGCCTCTCTGGAGACAAAGCATGGTGGCCAAGTTCCTCCCGGAACTGTCTAGAAAAGGCACTAGGAACCTGTATGTCCTTGATGCGTTCCGTAATGGTCGTGTCTGTAGGGAGACTGTGATCTGATGGCTTCGCCCTTGGTGTCATCGGTTCGGTATCTTCTGTGGATGTTTCTTGCTGAGGTGACCCTGGGGCAGACCGGGAGCTTGGCCGAGACTGCGAAGTATGACCCTCCTCCTCGCTCAGAGTATGCAGACCGCTATCTGAGGCCCCCGCGGGGTTCTTGTTACTCTTGTCAAGCGGATTCTCATCGCTGTACCCTGAGATGCCCGATGCCACGCTCCCCAGGCTAACAGAACGCGCTAGGTTGCCATGCTGCCCAGGTTGAGCGTCACCCACACTCTCCAGGGCCGCACCCCCTGATTGAAGTGCATAATCAGCACCCAGAGTCGCATCGCTATGGGTGGCTTCGGTGTTGGTCGTCGCAATAGAAGAGTAGGATAGCCGTTGGGCCGATTGGCGACTGTTCAGATACTTTGGCCTATTTCCCCTTCGAACGGTAGCGCGGGGAGCCATCTCTCCGTCACTACTGTCGTGAAGTAGTTTGGACTTGCCGCTTTGGGAACTGGCTCGCATTTGTTGCGAGGACCGTCGCGACTGTGGTGTAACCGACTTGTCAGCTGATGGGTTTTCCCCGTCCTGGTATTTTTGACCAGCTCCGGTGTTCTCTGATACTGATCCCGACAGATTCCGGTTCTCGTTTCTCGCTGCGGCCTGAGCGGCTGGTGATGAAAAGGGATTTTCAAGTATGGTAGTCTCGTCTTCATGCTGTCGCTCCGGAGGATGACCAGCGGGCGTAGTAGTCTCCATATCGATCGTCGTATTCCCCTCTTCTGCACTTTGACGCGGAGTTTGTGGAGCGGGCGCATCATCTTCCTGGATAGACGTGAGATCATGGCCTGCCTCATCCCCTGTGGATAGCTGAGACTGGTCCTCCGGTTGGGTAGGATTGGGCGGCGGTGCATTAGCATATTTCTCCGGGACCCCAACCAAGTATGTATCATCCTCATTGGTGGCAGCGTTCATGTCAATCGTAGATGGTTCTGGAAGGAAACTAGACTCCATGTCCATTAGTTTTCTCCGCATCTCCTTCTCCTCGAGAAAGGTTTGGTTGTCACCGCGTTCGTGGTCGCCGTCGTCGTCCTCGCTGGATAGGAGCAGAAGGCTGCTGTCGTCACGATCAGGTAGCGGAGGAGGGAGAAATGAGTCGTCGTGGTCATTCTGGCCTTCAGATCCGACTATTGAGGGGTTGGTGTCTGTCCCATGTTCTCGCCCTTGTCGCCCCTGTTCGTACTCTTCCCTTCTGTCTGTTCCTTGTTCGTACTGCGCGCGGTGCTCAACATCCTTCTCGGTCGTGCCGCTATTCTCGTCCATCATGAAGGCGGTATCGTGGGGGTTCTCGTCGCCGTCGTCGCTGTGATTACTATTGTTTTTGTTATTATCCTCGGTGGGTAACTGATCTCCCCGCAGATAATGGTGGTCGTCCACCACCATGAGCGAAAAGTTGTCGCAGAGAAACCGTCCCTACAGGCGAGCGATATTATTCTTCGTAATCAAAACTGCTAGAAAATGCGCTGTGAGAGCGCGCAGATGATCGCGTTGAGACGGTCAAGGTTCGGGGAGTTGGAGGTGGACAGTGCGGAGTCTGGCCGTTGACATGGGGACGCCGAGTTGTTCGCTTGAATACTCTATGCCTTATTAGGGATTCAACAGATACCCATCTCAAAAGCAGATGGCATGAAATGTGACAGTGACACCCCTCTTGAAACTAAGAGAAATCCAAACAAGTAGGGGGGAAGAGCCTCAGACACACTTCCAGCCAATGAGCGCTTTTCCTGGGGACAACCAAACAATGGCTTGTATAACGTTTGTGTGAAATACACATTACTCTACGCTCCGCTTTCATGAAGTTATGAAATCAATAAACACATGGGAAATGGTATGTACAGCTTGCTGTTATCTTGGCTATGGACTGCTTTTATTATAGATAACGCAAGGGTATCTGTCTGTCTGCAAAAAAATTCCAACAAAGTCGAGTACCAGTTTTACTTCAATCATCAATGCTAATTGATCTCGCCCAAGGAATATCCAGGCGCATGAGCAGATTTATCAGATTGATCTTTCTCCGGTATAGCTTGTACCTGACCAACAAACTCACCAGCCCTGCTAGCACATCGTTTGGCTTCCTCCCTGAACCCCAAGATCCATCCAACCATCAGGACATCATGAGGCACTTTGTTCTCGACAAATAATTCAACTCGAGAGTTGTCGTCCTTCGTCATATTCTGGAGACTTTGCGCCATCTTTATGTGCTCCGGGGCCAGGACTTCCCGCCCCCCCGTGACAACCAGCACCGGCGAGGGGACAGTGAAAGGGTGCCACAACGGAGCCACATATCGCTCGACATGTTCTGTGATCTCAACATCTTTCAGGAACTGACTTGCACCCCATTCCGGAAACGTCGCCGGGATGTATTCGGTTTGATAATTCGGACTCTTCCTCCAAACTTTTGTATCAGTGGCTTCGGGGATATCACACCAAGGAGAAAACAGCCAGCTGCATTTCGGCGCGGGGAGGATGTTCGGATGGTCGACAATGTAGCGGAGGAAGGCGATAGTAAGATGGGCCCCGGAACTATCCCCGCTGATGACGATGCGTGAGGGTGGAACATGTAAGGTGTGGAGTAGGAAGGAGTATGCGGTGATGAGGTCTTGGAGCTGTGCTGGGAAGCGTGCGTTCGAGTTGCAAGCGAGTCGGTACTGGAGACTGAAAACATATTTCGCCGGGGTGTTCGAGAGTAAGGTGTTGACAAGGGATTGGCAGGATGCCGTCCGCCCGTCTCCTAGCACATAAGAACCGCCGTGCAGATGCAGTACAACATGCTGATCGTCTGCTAGCGGATCGTTTGCTTGGTAAGGTACCGGATACCAAGTCCCCCCAATCCTCTCCGGTTTGATCACCTTGTCCTCAACAACGCCAATGTACAACTCCGGACTCGCAGGCTCGATCACGGCAAAACGATCACCTTCAAAGCGCGGCTTGAGCGAAAGCGGTTGTTTTACGTGAGCTGCTGTATAATTGCGCAAGAACGATTTGAGTAGTTTGTTCATCAATGCTTGCCGGTATGACCAGTCTCGATCCTGGCGAAGCTGGGGCGGGAGGTAGTACACCGTCAGAAGTGGGAGGTTCAGAGCGGATAGGATTGCTGCCAGAGACGTCGCCATGGCTGTTGGTTTCTGTCTTACTATTGAGGCATTATGTGGTTTTACTTAAAAGTAGTGGTCGCGAAATACCAAAGATTATGACCGTATAAAAGACATTGACGTCATTTCTGCATAGCATTGGGCAACTCGGTCTCGGAGGCAAACTGGTTTCTCTTCGGAGATTCAGCATTATTCTTCTTCCATTTTCACTTGTTAACGTGTTATGTATGAAATACTAGTACATAATCAGCAATCTCTATCCAACCACTTTCACGTCATGTTTCCACATTCAGCCCTGTGAAGGCAGCAGCAAAAAAGACAGTCCGGTTATTGAACCATTCAAAATTAGCAAATAACAGGTTTTTGTCGATAGCCCCATTTTGCGAAATTCACGCTCGCATTGAGAGATTATCCCTCTTATACACAAAAAAAAAAAAAAAAAAAAAAAAAAGGAATGAATATGAAAACAAGAACTTCAAGGAAATCGTGCCAAGAGTGCCAAGACATTAGCGTGGGTAGTTTAATTCTACTGATCAGGTACCGCTAAGCCAAAAATGGAAACTGTAGATAATGATACGAAGTGAACTTTGAGTGTATCATAAATGCTTCATATATATCAAGTAATTAATAGATGTATCCACAGGAGAAGAGCAAAAAAGCAAAGAATCATGGTATCCATAGCATAAATATCATCAACTGTACCGTCCGAAAATAAGAAAAAAAAAAAAAAAAAAAACTGGCCGCTATATCCAGCATGTGCTTTTTCTTTCCTCGTCATACCATGCGCTATACAATTATTAAAAAGCAAAAAAGATGAGGGACAGAGGATCACGCCGGCTGCGCAGTCTCGATTGATACCTTCGTTGGCGTCTCCTGCCCATCGCCGGCCTTGGAATCATCATCAGCAGTCGGATTGTGCTCCTTATTCTCCTCGCTAGGGGGGTAGATTCGCTTCTTCTGTTCTAGAGCACCATGTAGCGAATCGATGTACGTGCGGAACTTGACAATCTCCCGCAAGAGATACGACGATTTCCGCTCAAAGTTCGCCATCGCCTTGGAAGCGTTAGGATGCCGCGGTGAGAATGCGAGGATCATGGCGGCCCGGCGTTCGTTGTGTCGCTGGAACTCTTCTTCGGTGTTCTTTACGTAGGCCTGCAAGGCCTTGAGCTGATCCTCTTCGGGCAAGTACGATGCCGCCATGCTCTGCTGAGGCGGCGTCCAATCGCTGATGTTAACCCGGTCGGCGGGCAGTTTCGGTCGCACACCCTGCTGATCCATGGAGCTCCGTATCGAGCTTTGAATACTGGTCCGCGTCCCGGTAGGGGTTGATTTGCCATTAGTATTATTATTAAGACTATTAGTGTTGTTGCTGTCGGCGTGTATCAAAGCACTGTTGATGACAGCGTCGCTCCATCCATATTCGATATTGCTGATGCCGCCGACCAGAGGTTGCTTCGACAATCGGGCACTCCAGTAGTTGGCCGTTGAGACAAACTCACGAACAATCTCCGGCGTACCAGCCTGGAAGAGATGGACAGCACCCGTGGGCAGGCTCAAGGCCCAGACATGGGGTCGGGATTTGGAATATCCTGGCGGCGGCAATTGGCTGGCAATGGTCTGGCGTAGTGTAAATTTCCAGACTTCTTCAGCGTTGGACAGCCAGTTTCCTCCACCAACGACAACGCTACCAGCTTGACGCTGCTTGGCCTTTTGTTGCTTGCCAGATTTCGCCGGGTTAAAAGAAAACAGTCGCATCCAGCCTTGCTGGATGACCGCAAAGCAATCGTTCCAGTTCCGGTCCTTGGCCCGCTTGTCGACGGAATCGAGGTGATGCTTATGCTTAAGACTGCCTTCCTTAGCCCATGGAGCACCTGCGAGTTGAAGGGTCTCGTCATCTAGAAGAGGAGTGGCATCTGGGTCCTCAGTGCTAGCGATTGAGGCCCCGTCTTCGCGGATGATGGCTTGACTCAACGCGTTCGCAAACCCGATGGACTGTTGGTACTCGCCCCGCGGGAAGTCCGATCCGAACGAGTCGACCGAAACGGACGTGAATTTACCTAGAGAATACTTGCTCCACGTGCTGGAAGCAGACGGACTCCAGAGCGAAGACTGGTCATCAAGGCTGGTCCGACTGGATCCCATTGCCGACGGGGGATATAACCTCGCGCGCGAGCGAGGCTTGGAAGACCACCGTGCAGTTCCATAGCGGGAATCGGCAGAGCGGCCACGGGGATAGATATCGGAGCCGCTCTTGCTCACCGTACTGGGACTCCGACGGAGGCTAGGGTTCTGATTTGCACTGAGGAGATTGTTGGACGACGCTTGGGGTGTATCTCTCTCCGGCTGAGCGCCATGTAGTGGAAGCCTTTCCTTTTGAATCGAGGAGTAAAATTCTCTGAGTACGGTCTCAACCTGTTGCTCCCACGCTCGCATGGTTCCGTGGAATGGTTGATTCACCAACGGACCAGCGCCATTTTCAAAGTCCGCCATTGATGTTTTCGCAGAAAGATCCGCCCGAGAAAGTCGGTTCACCAGTTTTGAAGGGCCATCCGCCCCAGACGAAGACGATGCTTGATTCTCAAAGTCATGAGGTGCCGTGTCAAGCGCAACGCGTTCTATCGTAGGCAAGGTATTGCGCACGAATTGAGCTTTGGTCATTTTCTGGTCAATATCTGCAAGGTGGAGGTCGGTGTTCAATAGAAGAAGAGAGTAACAGATAGTGTGTACCACATCTAAAACAAAAGTCAGATATGACAGCAACGTTTTCAAAATCAGGGTTAACGAACCTGCAGCTTTAAACCCGTGGCTTGGGTTACACCGACACCATCGGGTAGAAAAGGCGTCCAGAACTCGGTCAATTTGCTGTGTCTCTCCCTTCAAGATTAGTCGATTACACAAGCTACGAAGGCCTGCCAGAATATGCATGTTGGACCAGTCGAACAGGTCCATATATGCTTCTCGAATAACTGCGCGGTCAGGATCACCCAGCCAAGCAGCAGCTGGGTCGTTTCCAACCACTTCGTCTTGGCTATCGAACAGTTTCTGGGCTTGTTCGCGATCTGCGGTGGTAGGACTACTCCCCTCGCTATCTTTGGGAGTTCCACCCTGCTTAGTCTCCGAGGTTTCAGCTGACTTGGGCTCTTCTGACTGGATTACTGGAGCACTAGTAGTGTTAAAGTAGTTTGATGTCTCCGGCAGGACACTATCCGTTCCGGGAGTTGGCATCTTGGCGGGATTAGGCGCTTCGGGCGTGTCAGGCGTTTTTTGAGGGAAATCCTCAACCACAGGGGACAATGTCGTTCCAGGAACAGAAATTTGCGGCAGCGGTGGTGCTAGCCTGCCCTGCGTTGGGCTTCCAAGAGACTCGCTATCCGTATCCTTTGAAACTGGTGATGAAAGGGGTGAAGTGACGCCGATATCAACGGATTTGGCTGTCGATGCCTCATCGCCACTACCGTTGGCCAAGAAAGATGTATCCAGACCGCCTGATGGGACAGGGGGGTATGCACCAGGATACTTGGACCTCGACCCACTCGACGGTGGAACAGAACTTCCCCTCTTCTTCTGGGATGCAAGGGATGCAGACTTGGCGTGATCGGCATCCTCTGCGCTGATTTCTCGGCCATGGTACTCTCTTGATGAACGATTTGGCGCAGGGATGCCCTCCGAGATATACGGGTTCATAACTTGTCTCAAACTGCTTACGGGGCTTGGTTCCGGCTTCATGAGATCCAGTGCCTTGGGAGCCAGGTGTTGGGGAATGGAGATAGGGGGTGGAACGCTGTCGACGACGGACTTCTTTCGCCGTCGGAAGAAGGAAGATTTTTTATTCACCACTTGGCGGCCCTCGCTGCGGACGGAAGTGTTCGTACCAGGCACATCGATCTTTGATGGTTGTCTCCCGACCTTGGGGAAATCATTATCATGGTGCGGCAGATACGACAAGTCATCAGGCGCGTTAGAAGCAGAGTTCTTCGAGCCAAATACCCTCCGGAAGAATCCTGGACGCTCCTTGGGCGGGTTTGGGTCAGGCGGAGGGGGAAAGCTGGGTTTGTTATATGAAATGGTTGGGCTTGGAGCAGGTGGGTCCAGTGAGTCTCCCAAGGGGGGCGGGGGTTCGAGTTCCAAGTCAACTGGTCGCCTGATTGTCGCCGTGCCGATATTCTCAGGACGGTGTTTTTTCTTCCCCTGGTCGGGTGGTGACTTGATACTGTTCCTCCGAGATGCTATCGGAGTCATCGAGGACTGAGAGTTCAGCGCATTCTGATACTCGGATTGAGAAGGAGAATGGTATTTTCTGGGTCCCGCAGGGATACTCGGAGTGGGAGCGGCATCGAGGTCATCATAACGCAGGGTATCATAATCATCTTCTGGAAATGGGGGAAATGGGGTCCCCACATCGTAGTCAATGCTCGCAGACTGGACATCGCTTCCTGAATCCGCACGATTCCTCGACAAAGATGGACCAAAATCATAATTGGACGATGAACTACCCTTGCTGCCTTTTCTCGTCCGATATGTAAGAGAACTGGATCCGGCATGAGGTTGTGTTCGCGAATTAAGACCCTCGTACCCCCGGACACTGCTTGTCCCTCTCAAACTGTTGCTCCGGCGGCCTTTTGCAGTCTGTATTCCATAGTGGCTGACACCTTCTTCGTAAGCAAGATCGGGCTCGGAGGACAACGAGGAAGAAAAGGTATGGCCTCGAAAGCGGCCGTGGGATGAGGAGGCCGGCGAATCTCGGTTATAGAAGTCAGATTCGAGAACGGAGTGGAACAGGCGATAATCATCGAGAACCGAAGTTCCCGCTGAGAATTGGTCTAGGGATTGTAACATGTTGTCCACAATGGATGTTCGGGCAGCATGCTTGGGAGACAGTGAAAGGTCATGGGGGTCGGGCTCGTCGCCAGACTCGTTGCTGCTGTTGGCCGTGTCGGTGGCGATTGTGTCGTCCGGAAATGCGTCCTGCAAAGACGGCAATCCCTGTGGATCTTTCCTTATGGTCTGATAGCTGGACATTTGTGAAGGGGGTGTTCGCGGAGGGGAAAGATCGGACGGATCGCGCTGAGGGGCTTTGCCGTTGTCTGGTCTGGTCCGGTTCATGATGGGCGGTTACTGAACGAATTGAAGCCAGCCCCCGGAAGGCGCGAGGTACAAATCACTGTTGTGGAATATATTCCAGGTCAAACTCGAGACCTTAACCCAAGGCGACGATTAGATAGTTATAGGTGGTGTCGGCCGCGGCAATCCCAAACCTCTTATCTTTTCTTTTCTTTTTTTTTTTTAAAAAAAAAGACCAAACGACGAGGATTCCTTGCTGCACTTAATATCCCGGAATAGTTGTAGACCCAATCGAATACAGATGATGCAGGTGCGTGTTTCTAGCGAGTGAATTGCATGAAAGAGGCGTAAGGAGAAAAGGGACCGCGATGGAAAAGCGGAACGACAAAGGGGGGAGGAGTGGGAATGGGAGAAAGAGAGGACAAGATGATAAGAAGAAGAAAAACTAGTAATTAGTGGTAAATAGCATGAAGAGTGGAATTGTCCATCAATTGATGGCGTTGAGTGAGGAGAAGAAAAGCGAAGAGGGAGAGAGGGATACGATGGAGAGAGCCGAGATGGAGAGAGATGGAGATGGGAGCTCCACCAGCTCAAGGACCGTCAACCAGAATTATTATTATTATCGCTTCGCGTATGGAATACACTTCTTTATTACGAGCTCTAACATTAATTATCATAAAACTAACCGCACGATGGATCATCGACTATTGAAAGTTTCGCCGTTGAGGATCTGTGCAGGGTAGATAACTACAGTACGTAGAGAAGACGCTCAGGGGCATGGTAATAATGATGCTCTTGAATCAATCAATGGCGATATTATCAGGAGGGATTGGCCTTGAATCATGCACTGGGCTAAGAATGGACCTCTTCTTTCGGAGATGCGCAGCCAAGCTCTGACCCGGACTGTATACAAAGTGTATATCCCGTGCCCCTGGAAGTATGAAAAGGTACTATCAGAGCACACTCTAGCAGGATATACTCGACCGATATCAAGAGTGGTACAGAGCACCGGAATTCTTACCTCTGCTAAACGATTCTGGTACTCTGATACACCCACCCGTTCGATCAATCTAACGGTCCTCTGCCCAGACCTGACCATTTCCTGCCCACTGCAGTTGCTGCTATTCCACACTATGTTCCAATGCCATCTGGCTGGCCGTGCCGTGAGTGGAGAGGGGCCCAGAAGGGAGGAACCCACTTTGCAGCAAGTGTCAAAAAGCAATAAATTCGGATGCAGTGAAACATAGTCGATCAACCGGAGACAACCGGGCAGTCAAACCCTGTAAAATAACAGTGATGTATCACCTGCCCACTAGCAGCTTCGTACATAGTAGTACATACAGCGAGCGTTTCGCATATCTGCAACTGGCAAAATCGGGTGTGATTTCGTCCATGGGGGGGGAAGACTCAACCGGATTAGGCAGTCGATAATGCTAACCAAGACGTCCAGATTAATTCTGGAGACTTTGTTAACCCGACAGCCCTCCGGCAATCCTGAAATTATCGGAAGAGATTCACCTCTTACTGAGTCTCCAACAACGTTCTTCCAGCGGCAGCAAAAGATAAGTGACAGGTCCAAACTTTGAGTATGCACCTATGAAGTGTACATTCCAAGCTGCAATAGTAGTTTGCTCACATTCCACAAGTTGTATGTACTCTGTTTTGTAAGAGCAGCGGTCATCAGTAGTTCAGATTCCGCTGCATCAGTGTACTTCGTGCTTTAAACGGTGAACGAATTGAATTGTATTCTCCGTTTAGAATGAAGAGCATTAGCATTCATTTCTAGAGTCGTCATTAATATTCTCGTTAGAGGCGTTTATGGCTGTACAAGTAGAACATGCTCAACGGAACGGCTTCATATTCCCCCGATGCGGATGACATAACCATCTCAACGCCTAATCAACAACGACGGTTCAAGCGATACGATTCTCGATTCATTATTCTACGCCAGCCTCTTTGGTTTATTGTCGCGTGCCCAATCAGGTATACCTGGGATTGGGGATCTCATCACACAACATGAATCCGCACATCTCCCTCCCCCGCCAACATGCCTCATCCACCTTTGGCGTCTCAGCGCCAGCAAGCCGAGGGTCCAGTATACGGATGCCGCGTTTCTTCAAGAGGTGAGCATCCATTGCGTTCTATCCATAGAACATATGCACATACCAGTGCATGAGAGGAGGCATAACAAACCAATTTGGCATTGATCGCAGTACTATGTTGCTAATATTTGTCTAGGCTGTTCAAGTTTCCCCAGATGGACTTTGAGATGGCCATTTGGGAGATGACATCGTTATTGATTGCGCCCAAGAAGGTGTTTAAGTCTATCTACTACCATGTAAGTCCGTGAACCCAGAATTTGTTCAAATATCATGCTGACTCGTTGCGTCGATAGAAACGTACGTGAATTCCGCCCCGAGACCGAAGAGACAACGACTCTCATACTAATGTTCTCGATACAGAAACGAAAAACACATGGCATCGACCAGATCCATCATTTACCCACCTTCTCTCCTTCTTCCTCCTGCTCACAGCACTCGCATGGGGTCTCGCATATACCCCTTCCTTCGGGTCTATCTTTCGCCTGTCCTTTTTCTTCATATTCTTCCACTTTATCGGGTCATCACTGTTTATATCCACCGTCGCCTACTTTGCCATCGGCCGATTGTTTGGACCTGATGGTGCGGCCGCCTCCCTGACTGGATTCAGAGGATCGCGTGGCCGGAGACGAGGCGCCGCACAGGGCCTCTTTACGCAGCCAGGCGAGAAGGATCAATTGGAGTTCGGATACTGTTTTGATGTGGGTAGTCCGTTAACCTCAGGTGGAAATATTATTGACAGATGATCGTCATTAGGTCTCCAGCCGTGCATTCTTCCCACTGTACCTCCACCTTTACGTCGTCCAATTCCTCCTCCTGCCCCTCCTCACCCGCAGCGGCAACTTTCTCGCTGCGTTTCTTGGGAATACGCTCTATTTGTCGGCCTTCACCTACTACACCTATATTACTTTCTTAGGGTACAATGCCCTACCCTTCCTGCATAACACGGAATTGCTCCTTCTTCCGATTCTGGTCTTTGCAGTTCTGTGGCTGGTTAGCTTGATCACCGGCTGGGGAGTGGTCCTGCAAGGGCACAGTGTGGAAGGTCTGTTCTGGGGTGTTTAGTTGTTTTTTTCTATTAAGTGTTGATACATATTCCATGGTTCGGTAGGCGCCGGTGTACACGGGAAATTGGCTATTTTGTTTTTGCTTATACTGATTTGTCTCGACCACATCGACATGGCATCAAATTTATCATAGCATTCTTATATAGAGATCTCTTATATCCAAATAATGTCATAGCGTTCATGAGCCTCGCTTGAACCAGTAGGTGCGACAAGGGAAATTCTGAAACAATTCATAGCATTAAAAATCGGATTATTTCTTCTTACCTCCGCCCTTCTTATTGGTAGTCTTCTTGGACAGAAGCGCCTCGCGCGCAGCCGCCTTCTCCTTAGCCACCGCTTCCTTCTCTTCCTTCTCGGCCTGCTTCCGGGCCCGTTCCGATTCTCTCTGTTCCCGGATAAGCGCCAGTCGTGCCAGATCCGACCGTGCTTCCTCCGTCTTGCCCTCCGCATGTAGCTTCATATACCGCTCCCTCGCCTGCTGCGCCTCGAGAGCTTCCCTCTCCCGACGCGACAGCTGCGACAGATCTTTCTTGGGCTTGGTCTCCTCTTCATCTGTCTTCTCCAGCTGCTTGCGAGATGAGGCCGTGTGATTGGGGTTTGCGGGAAGCTCGCCGCTCTCACCCTCACTTTCACTCTCGCCGCCATTGTTCCCCTTCACATCAATCTCATGTTCAGAGTCTGAAGGCGGGAGATCGCCCGGCTGAAGAGCCATTTGCTTGCGCTTTGCGATGGCAGCTTGCTTCTTGGCTTTTGTGGCGGCACGGCGCTCTTCACGGGTCACGTCGGCGGCTGCTGAGGAGCTGGGGCCGGCTTTGTCTTCACCTTCATCCTCAGAGGATTCTTCCTCGGAGCCAGAGCTGGATCCGGATTCTTCTTGTTCTTCTTCACCGGAGGATGGGATTTCGTCTTGGGGTTCCTGTTTTTTGAATGGCTGTCAGATTTGCTCGTGGCGTGATCGTAGAAAGGTCAGGCTTGACGTACCCGCCATAAGCTCACGGGGTTTCCATCTTTGTCGGTTGGTTGGACATCACGACTAAAGTGTTTTCCACCTGTTGCAAAACCCAATTCATCAGTCTTCTTCCCGTGCGAAACTTTTGTCCTGGTCCTCGGTGTTGTGAGTTACCTCCTCTGTTGGGCTTTGCGAACTTCCCACGGCCACGGGGAGGCATTATGAATGCTGTGTTTTAATATATGACGCGCTAAGGGTGCTTCGGTTTTATCGGGTACGAAATGTAGGATTCTGTAGGAATGCAGATTCGGTCAGTAAGGCTGCGGGGCAGGTTTTTGGAGGGTGATTCACGTACCAAATGTGGATCATAAAGAGAAACAGACTATTCACAAGCTCTAGCTGAATATTGCCTTTGAGAATTGTGACGGATATTGAGAAACCGCTGTTCTATGGAGAAGAATGAGTGATTGAATGTTTTGAAATCGAGTCACGCGGGGAGCAGCAGATCGTATCCACCGCCTGAGACAATCAGATCGCAGCCGATGTAATCACTTTGTATACAAAACTTTTCCTACAGGGATATCCCTTTCCAATTACGATTATTTCTTATTATACAATATGACTATTTTCAGTTCATCATGTCCAAGTCATGCCCGGTTCCAGGTGAATCCCAACTTGGCTATCCTCGCCATGACCAAAGTTATAGATCCAGCGATAATGGCACTCCCCATGAACATCTGCGCATACAGATACTCGCCATTATCCTCCTGAACCAATGCACCAGCAATGGGCGACCCAATAAGCGCCGCAACGCCGACAACACTAAGCACCATTCCCATCCGTACACCAGCCTTCTTCAGATCAGTCGTCAGCGTGCTCAGCGTCGCCGGGAACAGTGACTGGATACCCGCTGCAGACAGACCATAGAAGACAGCGAAGACGTATAGTCCGCTCAGGCTATTCACGCCGCTCCAGCCGTATGCGACGATGCCGGTCGCCAGGCTGAATGGGATCAGCATGTTTAGTGGGCCGGTGTATTTGTCGGCCATGAGATTGGGGATCAGGCGACCCAGGAGGCCAACGCCGTTCATGACGAGGAGGAGATCGATAGATACAGCCTGGGAAACACCAACGATGTCGCGGCCAAAGCTGCCAATGTAGAAGAATCCGATATACAAGCCCCAGAAGTTAAGGAACATGCCGATGGCGAAGAGGAGGTATGGTAGTTCCTTGAACGCTCCCCATTCGACTAGGGGACCGCTCTTGCGAGGGGGAAGGCGCTGTCGCAGGAAAAACACACTGGGGCTGAGCGTGGCCAGGGAAATAAACCCCAGAGTCCGCATCGTCCATCCGTAACCCACCCGGGGTAGGAGTCGCATGACCACTGCGGGGAAGACAAGACCCCCTGTTGCTGACCCAGATGCGGAGATACCAATAGCAATGCCTCGATTCTTGGTAAAGTATGTTGGCATTAGAGCGACAGTGGGACAGAACATGAGTCCGCATCCCAGACCCTGACCAAGACCCTGCGCCAGGAAAAGTTGCCAGTACTTGGTGCACAGAGAGGTCATGAAAATAGAGAACAATTCTAGCAGGGCTCCAGCCGTCAAAATGAGCTTGAAGTAGCCGGCATCCGTTGCACGACCAGCGAATGTCCCAACGAAGAAAAGCAGGAAGATTTGTATACTTCCAACCCACGAGATATCAGACGGCGGATGACCAAGCATCTCAACATAGTATGTCTGGAACACGCCAAAACTGTTGATGTAACCCCAAGTATTGAAAATAACCATATGCGCCAACCCTACTTGCAGCCATGCCTCGAAGCCCCCATCTGGAGGAGGACCGATGTCTTTGCTGGATTCTCTAGTCCGGACGAGCGAGAGGGTTCTTGCGGTTAGGTTGCCAATATGGCTGCTGTTGGTGGTAGTCCTGGTGAGGTCTTTCGGTGCGTTGTCTTGCTTCTCGGAGTTGTAGTCTATTGCTGATTCCTCGTCTCGGGGGGGGTCAATTGCATCGACATATTGGTCGTTGAGGGTAGGTTTATCGTTGACACTAGCATTCTGACAACCATTGGAGGGGATATCCTGCGAAGAAGCCATTCTCGTTGGATTGGTAGAAATATCACTAAATTGACTATTCCACACCAAATCCCCCCGGTTTTTGGTGGTCTTTTAAACAAAAACTAGGTAGTATCGATGATTAGAAATAGTGCTCGTGTTTGATATCCGGGGAAGCAGGATTTCTAATATCACGCCTCGATAGAATGAGTCATGAAGAGCATTTGAAGTGGAGAATCTGCACTGGAAAAGTTTCAATTCCAGCCCTAGAAGGATTTAGGATTGTCACGATTCCTTCATTCGAGTCTGCGTTCGGACAGATGACCGACCCCCGGGTATTGATAGCCTCGGATAGGTCTCGGGTGATATCCCGGCAATAGACTGTCTTGGCTCTATTCTAGTGTATTCTCTAGCGAATGTTTATATACAATAAGTGAAGTACTGTACCTGTACCTGTACATTGTAGTATGCAGTCATGTCACAGTCATCCGGGGAATAATCGGTTCATTCTCCTTTTCGGGTTAGTATCCGGCTTGCCTAATCGGGGACGCGTATCAGATCTCCCCACCACGTTTTCCCTCCTTCTCCGTCTCCCCCTCCTTCCCTCCTTCCCCCTCCCCCTCTCACACTCACTTTACTCTCAATTCTACTGAATATCAACGCATCGGTCCATCAGGGATTCTGCGTTGTTGCTCAAACTCTGATTCAACGCGGATAGGGCGCGGATGATGGTTCCGGTGCTGACAGAAAAGAATATCCAGTCGCCAAACAGAATCAATTCAACAAGTCTATGAGTCCATTCACTTCTATCAGAATGGAAACGAGAATATCTAAAATAATTACGGATGCCGCAATTAACTAACTGTACAGTAACCGCCAACAAAACACTGTTATGCACTTTATTTCCGCGCATGGTAATCCTGCAAAATCGCCTCTGCGATCTTCACCGCCATGCCATAAAACACAGTCATCACATGCGACGACACCTGCGTCGGGGGAATAGAGCCATCGACCACCCGCAATCCCTCAACACCATACACACGTGCCGTCGAGTCTACAACACCCCCCATTTCCTTGGGCATCATGGAACATGTACTCACGGCATGGTAGTTGGCTCGGAAATTTTCCTCCACGTACGTCACCCAGTCCTGCAAGCTCGCGTCCGCTGGCAATTTATCATACCCGGGTACGGTTTCGCCGGCGAAGTACTGCGTCATGGCTCCCCTGCTGGAGAGCTCGCGTGCAAGCTTGGAAGCAGCGGCCTGGCCTAGCACGTCAAGCTCGTTCAGGAAGAATTGAGGGTCGTTGTCCAGGCGGCGGAGGTAGGGATCCTTGTCCGCAATGTGAACATAGCCACGAGTGAAGGGGATCAAGTCCCACACGTCGAAGCTAATCTTGCCGGCCGTGTCGAGGAAGAGCTCGGCGTAGGCCACGTTGTCGTTAACCAGCCAGTCGCGATAGTTTTCATACTGGATCCTCAGTGCTGTCGCGTTGTGGAAGCCGCCTCGGGCCACGACCTCTTCGGCCCACTGGTCCAGCTTGGTGTTGAGCAGTTCGTGTGCCTGGGGAGCAAAATCGCCAAATGTCTCGTTGAACGTAGCAAAGTACGCGGCCTGACCCTGACCGGCACCAGCTGGGGTGATCCTTGACTGCAAGTTGACGGTGGTCTGGTCTTGAAGGTTAAGACCAACTGGCAGGTCCACCACCTGTTCGATGCCAACCGAATCCAGAACCGACTTGATACCGATGCCCGAGTATTCAAGAATCGTGGGGGAAATAGTCGAGCCAGCCGCCAGCAGTACTTCTTGGCTAGCAAAGGTTTCGTACCTGCGAGTCCTATGCGTTCCAAACTCAACACCAATTGCCTTTGGAGCATCGGGAATGGTCTTGTCCAGCAACACTTTCCCAACCGATTGGCCGGTCAAAACTTTGAAGTTGGGCCGATAGTAGTTGGGGACCAGCCACTCGCGCGCAGCATCGGCACGGATTTGGCTCTCGTACAACGAGTTGGGGAACATAGATACTCCGTGAGGGTCACCGCAGCTCAAGTCCTTCCTGACAGGGACACCTTCCGCGTTGACAGTGTCCATAAGCGCCCTCATGATAGGAGAGTAAGGTTCGCCGGTGTCACGGGGTCCAGCATGGACGGTACCGTTCGACCCGTGGCACTGTGGGTTGAAGTAATGGCCAGCCTCGATTTGCCTCTGGTTGGGGGGGCGGACTTTCTCGATGCCGAGCATGTATGGGAGAAGATCATTCCAGTTCCAGCCTTGGTTACCAAAGACCCTCTCCCAGCTGTCAATTTGAACCTTGTGAGGTCGGGTCCAGGTACCACCGTTGACAAGGGTAGAACCTCCCAAGCCTTTACCAGAGCGAATAATCTCGGTACGGTTGTTGACGGCAAGTGGGACAGTCTCGAATGCATGGTCAACCTCGGTCCCGAATATTTCACCATAACTGTTGAGATCTTCGATAATGGGACCGCGGTTTGATTCGAAGAAGCCGCTTTCGATGACTAAGACCTTGATGTTAGGATCCTCGGTCAGGCGTGCGGCAATGGTCAGGCCGGTCAAGCCACCACCGGCAATGATATAGTCGACAGTGGTGTTGGCAAGCACAGTTGGGTCGGTGAGCAGTTGAGGTTGAACGTCCAAATGCTCACGAGGGGACTTGGGCAGTGCCGTCGCGACGGAGAGAAATAAAGACCAGATGAGTGACCTCATGGTGACGTACTGCTTGACGGAGCAACAAAAAGAAAAGGAGGAAAGGTAGAATTCAGAGAGATGCCGAAAGAAGAGCAAGAGAGCTAATGATGAAAGAACAAACCAGGCCTGGGAGAAGAAAGGTCTCATACGAGGCGGGTATCACCTTATATAGACTTTCGGGTCTTTCTTCCCATTGAGTCTCTGATCATATGAATCTGGTACGGCAAGAAGCAGCGAGCTAATCACAGTACGAACAAGCACCTCTGTGTCACCCATTTTACAAACGACCACGAACCAAGATGGCCTATCTCGTCCAAAGCCAGGGGCCTATCTCTGCCAAGATCGATGCTGACAACCTTGGGAGAAGCTAAGCGGGCTGAATATAGTGCATGTGTGGACAATAGATGGTTCCGACAAACCTTGAGAGTCAAAATTTCACCGAAAGTCACCGAAATAGCATGCGAAGTATACTCTACAACGAAGTGGAGAATGAAAAAAGGAAAAAGAAAAAGGACCGTGTACGGCATACTATGTTTGGGTACCGGATTTCCACGGGCCAAGGTCGGCAAGCCGAGAAACTCAGTCGCGAAATTTGGGACTCGGGATGGATTCTGCAGCACTGCCAATTTCCGACGATACCGACAGTCTTACTGGATAAGAGAATATTGGGTAGAAAACAGGCTTACCGGCGGTGCAAGTAAGCGCAATGCCCAGAGCGACGAACCAAGGTTGGGTGTTACTGGGCAGTTGATCGTGGGGCGTTGCCAATTTCACGGCAAAAGAACGTGGGAGGCATCAACGTCTCTGATACGCAGGCCAAGAGCGGTAGTGAACACCGGTGGCTTAGAGTAATCCGCCGTGCAAGGGATTTTGTATAGGGCTCCTTTTGCCAACAGTGTACCTCTGGGATGGAAAACAGTTTTGTTCAGTAGATATGACAGTACAATATGATTTGAGCGCCATGACACCGGAAATCTACGAGCCCTACTGAGCTTATTCTGAGGCTTTTCCAGTAGCCAAACCAGTATACAACGTAGGGCAGCCCGATCTACAGGGTGGCCTGCTCAAATTTTGCAGCTTCCGATGGCTTCGGCTATTGGACTAGCCCCAAAGCATGCTGGAACGAGACGTTGATCTTCGCTTGAACTCCGTCTTCTCTGTCAGACTCCACCGGCAATCCGAGGAAAGCACGGGATGTTGTGCGACTGGTTTTCTGTTGATCTCGGTGGTTCTGCGGGCTTGGCCGGCCCCGTATGGACTAGTATGAACTAGTATGGACCCTCCAAGCCTATGTTGACCGAGAACGCTACGCATACATAATCCTATCTAATAATCACAGTACCCCGTCTTTATTTCGCTAGATTGTTAAGATTTGAGATTCGAGAACATCGATCCGGCGTCATCATTTCTAAGCCCCGGTGTCGGGGTGTATCTTGGCAGGTCCAGCCCAGGCTTCTTTCAAACCTCCTGATCTCAGCCACGCTTCAATACCTTCAAGGCAAGCAGGTGTCGTCTCGTATCAATCGGTTTTCATAGCCGGAATTGGCTTTCGGTGTCAACCTTGTTTCTTGGTTACTGTACGCCTCTGGTGCATTCTTCGCGACTCTTTCTCTGGAAAGTTAATCTCCGGCTGCTTACATACATACATGCATGCATGCATACATGCCTTGCTGCCCTACCCGGAAATAAAAAAGCGAAAATAGAAAGAAAAACAATAGACCACTGTCAGAATGAAATCCTCCTGGTTCACAGCCGTGCTCTGCGCATCCCGGGCTATGGCTATGGCTTCTCGACTATATGCCGCCTCGTACACCGGGATTGTTTCCACGCTTTCCCTGGCGCCTGCTAGCAATGGCACCGGCAATTTGTCTGTCATTGCAGAGTCCACCGGCTGCGGTCCTAGTCCTTCGTGGCTGATGCTGGACGGTCCCCATGAAATCCTGTACTGTCTGGATGAAGGCCTCAATGTTCCCAATGGCAGTATCGCCTCGTTCCATACCAACGCCAATGGCTCTCTTGATCTGATTAAGCACGTCGAGACCATTAGCGGTCCGGTCATGTCGGTGCTGTATTCTGTGCCGGGGGCACCTGGCCGCAAGTTCATGGCCGTTGCCCATTAGTGTGTTTCCTTATCTACTCCTTTACGTATTCAAATATACTGACAAATGAAGTGATGGCTCTGCCGTAACCACCTACTCCGTCAACCCTATCACCGGCATCTTCAATCGCTCCCAGACCTTCAACTTCCACATGGACGGCCCCGGTCCCAATGCCGAACGTCAGGACGCACCACACCCTCACGGCGCTTACCTCGACCCAACAGGCCGCTACGTCCTAGTCCCAGACTTAGGTGCTGACTTTGTCCGCATCTTCGAAGTCAACCAGCGAACAGGCCAGTTGGAGGAGGTCTCGCCGTTGGTCACTAAGCCTGGACTAGGACCGCGGCACCTGGCGTTCTGGACGCCTAAGAGTGCGACAGGTATCCAGATTGCGAACGGAGAGGTTGAGGTTTACTTTTACCTTGTGTCGGAGTTGATGAACACCTTGACTGGGTATAAGGTCTCCTATTCGGAGTCTGGTAGCATGGAATTCACCAGTGTCTACGAGGAGAGTACCTTTGGCGGGCAAAATCCTGGTCCGGATGGGTCTAAGGCGTCGGAAATTGCCATTTCAGTAAGCCCTCCCTTCCACCCCCCCTCCTTTTCCTCTCAAATAGACATTGCTAACAACAAAAGCCCACGAACAACCATGTCATCGTTTCCAACCGCCTCGACTCAATCTTCGGCCCCAACAACGACTCTTTCGCTATCTTCTCCATTGCCAACGACTCTGGCACCGCATTCACAAAACCATCCTTCCTGGGCCTAGAGCCTGCCTTTGGTGTTAACCCGCGCCAGTTCGAGATCTCCCCTAGAAAGCATCAGCATTTGGTGGCTGTTGCGTTGCAGGATGGGGAGGAAGTTGTTGTTACGAAGTGGGATGAGAAAGAAGGTAGGACGGGGGCGTTGTATGCGAAGAAGGCGATGAAGGGGCAGATTCCAGCTGTTGCTTGGGATCATTAGGTTGGTTGACTGTATTTACAGTATCTGAGGATAGGTTAGATATACTGGACCTGGACTATATCATCAATTTTGATATGGATCATTCGTCACATTTCTTCTATATTTATATTCGGTTAAACATGTCTATCTATAACAAACCGTTGTGATCCCAAATCAGCAGCTCCATGTCATTACTAGAGCAGAAATGACACAAAAAATCGTCAATACGCCAGTATAACCTAACTCCTTCATATCCCTCTACGTGACAGGGCACGGGCACGAGCGGTTTTGGAAATGTATGTGAAGTATATATCGTGCGAGCAAATCGAAATCGAAATCGAATCCAAAGTCCTCTTTTAGATCCTCAAAGAAAAAGCAAGTAAATAAGACTTCTAATACTCCTGATTACTCGAGCTGTTGTTCAGCATCCCGATCGTCCCAATCACATCGGCGGGTTCGAGGAGATGCCAGCTGGCCTCGGTTTGTTTCGAGCTTGCGCCGACGGTGACTGAGTAGACATGAGAGGATGGCAGGTCGGATTTTTGAAGAGCACGGAACATGTCTGAGAAATTGTTATTCTTGGTCCGAAGCAAGAGGGGTGGGGAAGAAATACCTTCATCAGTGAAATCATCACCTAGACACAATATGAACTCGGGGGCGTTTCCAGGAGTTGTGCCATACTCGTCAACCAAACGAGTGGCAATGAAACCCTTGTTGACAAAGGTCGGTCGGACTTCGAGGTTCGCCTTGCCAGCCATCACTTCTACATCCCACCTCTTCATCACTGTCTCCTCCAACTCTTTCCGACACTCTCGAGCCTGGAACGCACCGTATTCAGGATCTGCCCGGCGATAGTGCCAGGTCAAGGCCACCCGTTTCCGTTCGATGAAGGAACCCTGTGTCCGTTCCGCGTAGTGTTGGAAAACCTCCATGACTTCCTTCTGCCATCCCATGTTCGTTTTCTCCGCCAGATTCTCCCAGTCGTCTGACCGAGGCTTTCGGATGAAGCAGCCATGCTCCGCACTCAGACCCAGTTCGGGGATATGGCCCATCCACTCATCCAGGAAGGCCTGATCACGACCACTGATGATCCAGACGGCATTGCGGGAATCAGCCGCAAGGCTCTTAATGGTTCGCAGCACGCGGTCTGATGGGATAGCCGCTTGTGGATCTTTGACAATGGGTGTGAGAGTTCCGTCATAGTCGAACATAAACAACCTCTTTCGGGCTCTGCGATACTGTCTCAACAGTTTGGCGCGATCGAGTGCCGGGGTCGACTCGGATTGATCAAAGGAAGAGAGATTGGTGAGAAGGCGGTTCAAATATTGTTTGGACCATGTTCCTACCGTGTTCGTAGTTACATGTCTGTAGAGTTTCGTATGCTGTTCCTCTTTCTCCTCAGGGGACATGGTCAATGCCTGATTGATGGCGCCAGCCACACCTGCCAGGTCCCAAGGGTTGATGTGAATCGCATTGGACAGGGTACCAGCGGTACCAGAAAACTCGGAGAGAATCAACGGACCATGGTTCTCTTGTTGGCAGATAACATACTCTAAACCGGTCGTGTTCATGCCATCCCGGACTGTCGTAATCAACCCAACATCGGCCACCCGCAATAGAGCAAAATACTCGTGCGGGGTCAGGTACTGTGGGTAGTATTGGATAGGCGAAGAGCTCAACGAGCCAAATCGGCCATGGATGCTGGCAACCAAAGTGGAGACTTGACTAGCAATCTTGTTTTCCGGGTCCTCTTTTTCTTCCTCGACACTAGTCGGACTAGTGACTTGAATCAACACAACCTTGTCGCGCCATTCTGGATAGCGCTCCAAGAACAATTCAAAAGCCTGCAATTTTTGCGACACTCCACGGACGCTGTCCAATCGATCACGACCGACGATGATCTTCTTTCCAGCGTATAATTTTCGAAGTCCTGCGACTGCCTTTTCAATTTCTGGGGCACCAAATGCAGCATCTTGGATCGCTTTGGAATCAATACCGATAGGAAACACGTCCACAGCCACGTGCGCGCCGTATGCGTCCACTCCGGCAGAATTCGAATCAAAGCCAAGGATCCTCGTGCAGCAAGACGAAAAGTGACGGGAGTATGAAAATGTCTGGAACCCGAGCATATTGGCACCCAACACACCCGTTAAGATTTCTTTCCGTTTCGCGAGACACCGTAAAAATTCGCTGCTGGGGAATGGGGCATGCAGAAAAAATCCAATAAAGAGATTGGGGATCCGTTGGCGCAGCATGATGGGTAAGAGGAATAGGTGGTAGTCATGAATCCAAACTATGTCCCCTTCCTGATACTCCTCCAGGATGCGGTCCGCGAACAGTCGATTCATGCGGACATAGTCCGCCCACCAACTACGTTCACACCGGCCATCAGTAGGACCGTGCTGCTTGTAGTGTAAAAGCGGATATAATTCCCGCTCAGCATAGCGTCTCCATCGCCCTTGGTCTTCTAGCAATAATGTATCTTCCGGTTCCTGGTCTTCGGTTTCATCCGTGAGCCACACAGGAGCAATTCGACCGTAGCGACAGGAACTCAATTGCGCATCCAGGCGATCACGGTCCTCTTTCGTAACCCTTATCCCTTCCAAAAGGGGATGGGCGGGTTGCTTTTGACTGGCATCCACGGGGACTGGAGCCGCAGCTTTGTTCACGGGCAAGGGAACGGGGCCGGTGGTTGCACCGGAGGGCCCTTGGGGTTTTGCGCCGACATTGGCGGGGATGTGCTGTAACGGGAATTTCTCACTTTCAATTGGCTCGATTTCGCCTGTCCACCCGACTAATGTATGTGACCATTTTGTGCTGTCAGAACCGAGATAGGCGAACGAGTCAAACAGCGCCGACGTACCGCGGCGGGTTTTAAGTTCCTACGACGGGTTAAATGTCAGTCTAAAATGAATATAAAGGGCATTGAAAGGTACAACATACCCAATCCGATCCCGACTGAAAGTACAACTTGTAAGGTATACAGAAGGCGGCACTGATGATTCGCCCGGAGAGGCGTAATCCGGGGTGCTGTTCGCGAGGGTCAGGCTCCGGGATAGTCTGTGGCGTACCTCCCACTAGACTCAACCGGCGCAACAGTTCCCTTCCCGATTTCGCATTTTTTGCAGCCTGTTCGGGGGTGGCGGGAGTAGTGACGTCGCTATCACTATCGGGCGGCGGAGCGTTGCGAGTGCCGGGGTTGTCAGAAAAGTAGGAGGGAGTGTCGCTGGCAACGGGGTCCTTCTTATCGATGTTGAGGCTGGGAGTGACAGTGGATGCCTTGCTATAGGCGTCGTCGCCCAAGGTCTTCATACCGGGACCGACCATGACTGGATCTGGCTGGCCGTCGGGGACGCGGGGGGTCTCGTGCTCGGACATCGCGAATTAGAGGGAGGGGGGGAAACGAGGAGGGAGACTTTTCTGTCCGCGCAAAAAAAAAAAAAAAAGAAGACACGTAGATAGATAGAACTAGAGGCATATGTTAGTTCTGAAACACTTATGATAAGCTGAGAAGAAATATGACGTTGGGTGAGAGGGAGAAGAGAATACTGTACCTGGTTGCAGCGAACGGGGACGGAGGGAGCAGAACTATTGAGGGAGAGAGAAAGCAGAAGTGGCCATGGGGAGTAGTAAAAGCGATTAATAGAGTACTAAAAGGAGAGGAATAGAACGAAGAAAATAAGGTCGAGGATGAACAGAAGAGGAAAAGGTGTGAGAGGAGGGAAAAGTCGCTGGAAGAGAATGGAAGAGACTAGAGAGGGGAGAGGTCCGGCCAGAACCAGTCAAGGCGATAAGCAGTAGTCACAGGCCCAAGGAATTGGACAGGAGAGAAGGGATAATTAGCTGGGTAAATTAGGAAAATTACTAGGGGTGGATTAATATAGAACAAATCAAGATATATATATAAAGTAGGTGTAGGTGTAGTATACGAGTACCGGAAGAAAGACGAAGAACAAAACAGGATGCAGGACTGTATGACTGAAACACCTCTGTTGTTGCAGTCACTCGAGTCTCTGAATCACTTATTTCTTCTTTTCTCTATGATTTCATTCCTAAATCGTCCACTTTGACGCTATTCCCGTCAGCACACGTGACTAGGGCTCATCACGTGATAATCACATGACGCCGTCGCGAACATATCATTCTATCATCATATCTTCCTCCTAAAAAAACCCGTTCCTTTCGTTTGCGCGTCACTTTGCTCTCATAGTCACTTCATCCGGTGTTCTCCATCCAAGTACATGCCCTGGATTCTCCGTTTCCCTTCGCAATGCTGTTGCTCGCCTAATCGCCCTGCCATGCGCCTTGTTGGCCCTCTTCCGAGTCTACGTCCTCATCGCTTCTCCACTCTATTCAGTTTTAGTACAGCATTGTCCCGCCAGCTCCATGGCTCTACTGCTCGTTTCCACTCGCGCGACAAAAATTCCGCGGAAGTCTTTCCAGATAGTCTGCAGAGGACGCTGGATGCTCATCGTGCCTCCAACCGAGCCAGTCTGTTTCGCGTGGTGAACACCACCGCACCTCCGAAGAAGAACCGTCGCCCAAAGACACATAGAGTGGTCACCAAGTCAGCCCATAAACAAGAGGAGGAGGAGCAAAAACAGGTAACGCTGAAAAGTACTCAAAAACCGAAAATCAGTCGTCGGGAGTTAGATAGATATGTCAAGTCGCGGCTCCGATCTGACCACAAAAGACCACCGGAATGGGTGAATCAGCAGTTGCGATGGGGTATGAGCGTGCTACAGAACCGACCGGAGCAGTGGCTATGGCTCAATCACTATGCTGGGAATAACACGTCCGACGCTACGACGCACCTAGACGCTGAAATTCGAGCCCTGGACGCCTATCTGATGCCAACTTCGGATGAACAAAACCAAGTGAACGAACTAGTGGACACAGTCTCAAAGCTCTTCCAAGACATTCCTTATATGCCCCAGTTGACTGGCTCCTGGCGGACGGGTGTTGCATCGAGTCATTCAGACGTCGACTTCGTCTTGCCAGTACCAGATATCGGACGATTGAAGGACGATATCCGTAAACCCAGTTCCACAAGACCTCAAGTTTTAGAAGATTACCACAGCCTCCTGGAGAGGGTTCAACAGATCCTATGGCAAACCCCCACGTTCAAAGATAAGACTTTCCTGGTGTACAACCGCATCCCAGTCCTCTCAGCCATACACGGCCCAACAGGAATACGAGTCCGATTCCAATGCAAAGAGGGTCTCCCCTCATCTATCGAATACATCAACGATTATTTAGCAGAATATCCCGCTGTGCGCCCATTATACAGGACTACCCGACTAATCCTCGAAGTACAAGAACTGTTCGGACCCCTCCACTCGTCAATAGGCACAAACGCCCTCCTAATGCTCCTCGTCGCATTCTGCAAAATGAACCACGGCCGCTTCCAACGCCCACACGGCCTAGGCGTCCAGCTCCTCGCTTTTCTGCGCACGTATGGAATTGATGTGGATCTCGCCGCTAATGGTGTCGCCGTTGACCCGCCAGGTTTGTTCAACGAGGAGTCCACCCGGAGCGCGGATGAGAGGTGGTCGTGGCCTGAGGAGACACCGGCGCACATTCGGGGCCAGTGCGCACTTATGAACCTCAAACGCACAGCGGGTTTCAAGGGCAATGGGCCCATCGCGGACCATTTGTGTATTCAGGATCCGACAAATTATATGAATGATCTGGGGCGGCTTTGTACCCGGACGAGGGACATACAGAATGTTTGGGCTGCTGCGTATGCACGGTTGAAAGCGGCATCGGACGATTGGGATGGTTCTGGGGGTACGGTTAGGCAGAGTATCTTGACCCATAGTCTTCGTGCCAATTTCGAGGATTTTGAGAGAAAGCGTCATGGTCTTACTAGCGCGCCTGATTAAGTCTAAACGGCCTTCGCTAGAAGTACCAGGAAGTCCTCTGTATTATATCTATTTATTATTATGTGTATATCTTACATGTGAATCTAAAACAACTAGCTGTTATATCTGCAAAAGCAAAAGCATTTTCAAAAGAAATACCACCCAAAGCTGCGCCAATGTTTGCAATACCACGAAAACGTCTGCTTAACACAGATCTAAGATATTGAGCCCTGGCGTCAAGCCAATTAACGCCTGGTGTATGATTATGAAAACAGAACCAAGGCAACTGCTGTATTGAGTTGCATGTCATACGCAGAAAAGCGGCGCTCGCAGGTGACGTCTATTCCTTGAAAGTCCAGAATATTCGATTAAGCATTACGGTTTTAATTGCTGTTTACAGTCAGCACATGAACTTGTGTGTTAAAGAGTACGAGAAGAACTTACTAAATCTCCAGGGGCGAGATCTGATCAAGCGCATAGAGCCAGTTTCCACCCTGCTCTTCTTTTTCAAGCCTATAATTCATTAGGTTAGTATCATAAACCTTAGAAGCACCTTCATAACAAGGGGAACGAACCAGTCATAAGGCCAAAGGATCAGATGTCCCTGGACCTTATTCAACAATTCCTCCGATCGCTCATTGTCCATAATCTCATCAGTCGCAAGGAACTCCCGTTTCGAGCCAAGAGTCGTCGCTCTTCGTCTTCGCTTCCGTGATAGTGTTGCGTTGCGATTCAAAGCGTCCGAGTAGTCAACAAGCGGCGGGTTGGATCGCGACTTCTCAAGGTCGTCGGCACTTGTTCCATGGTCATGTGTCTTTTCATCGATAGGCTCTTGGTCGTGGGAAGACTTCTCGTCTGGGGACTGAGACCCCTTTTTGTCAACGAGTTCAGTGCAAGGCTGAGGAGGTTTGGCGGGTGTAGCTGCTTCTAGAGCGGGAGGACCACTTGCTCGCTGCGGCGGCTGGAATGCTTTCGCGCTGTTCTGGCTTTGCATCTCTGCAAAGCGCTCGCCATACGCGGCGTATTCCTTGTAATCCTTCCAGGACTTCACCTCACTGTCTGGCATACAGCGGAACACGCTCCGATAGATCTTGGTGTTCTTCTCAGCAACAGCTTGCCAGGTGTCCAGGTAAAAAATATCAGTTACTGGGTCTCTCATGCAGTCCTTGTCCACGAAGATGTGCTTCAATTCTGACGAAAGAGGCTGTGAGTATTTAGCAGCATCGTGCTTTTCTTTCGAGCCAAGCGCAGCACCACTATGACTGCTCTCAGCGTCAACGTTCGATGCCGAGCTTGGACGCAGAGCACCGGGTAGTCCTTCTATGATAGGATACAATGCTGATCCCGTCTCCGGGGAAGCTGGAGCTGGCTGTTCTTGCGACTCCTCGTTGGAAGCAACTTGTAGGGACTTCGGCTGTTCCGCCTGCTTGGGTTGCTGAAGACTGCCCTTTCCTTCAGTCGAGATGGGCGATATCAAAACTTCCTTGCGGCTGTCGACAAACTTGGAATCGCGTGCGTCCCCTAGCCCGGCTTGTGTAGCAGAGTTTAGGCGGTCAGGTCCGTCACCATCGACATCCTTCCTATGCTCGGCATTTTGAGTGACTCTCGCATCGGTGGTCATCTTCTTGCTAGTTTTGAGATTCGGGTTGTTGCCTTGCTCCCAATCGATGTCGTGGTTGAAACTATGCATGTCTTCGGACCGAGAAAGGAACTCATCTTGCATACGATGGCGACGCTCAATCATATCCCTTTCGTCCTGCTTTTCCATCATTATAGCCTCAGTTTCAGCATCTTCCCTGGCTTCTGGAGCTTTGGAGTTCTCCGCCATTTCGAACATTTGCTTCTCTTCTTCAGCAGCAATGTCATGCTCCAACAATTCATCGACGTCAATTCCCAGATGCTCTCTCATAAGGCGCATACGAAGGGTATGCGGGAACCGTCCAACAAGGTAAGGCTGGCCATTCATGGTAGACCAGATCATATTCGTATCACGCACGACTGCCGCTACCTCTGAATCCCGCGAGCCAAGCATAGACCGCTCATTGATGTTGGCAGACCCAATAATCGCAGCTCGATCATCCACCACCATGCACTTGGCATGGATATAGAGCTGCTCCGTGACAAGCTGGCTTTGGTCACCGATCTTGCCCCAAGTTCGAAGACTGAAAAATTGGATGTAATTTTCAGGCTCAATACCTAGAGCACGGAGCCGCCCGAATATCGAAGTCTCTCCACGGCAAATGCTTCGATATTGACATTGCATGATAAGGCGGACACTCGTTCCACCTTCGCTATCCACGGTATTCTGGAACCCGGGCATCAGTGGAATGATGATGACAGCGCGCCATGTTTCACCATTCTTGGCTGCTCGGGTAATCCGTTCCACCAGAGCATCCCCAATGAGGTTTTCAATCTTCCTGCCGTCGATCTCGCATGTACTGACGAAGAACTGATTCTCGATGTAAACAAAATGCTCAGATTCTTCGATCAGCTTAACGTAGGCATTCATAATACTGTGTTCCGTAACATCAGGTGTTCCAGTCGACCACATGCTACTAGAGCGCAAGATCTGGACTTCGCTAGATCCGTCCAGCCCAAGGGCTTCTAAATCCCTGGGGTCGAAATCTGGTGGGGGTAACAGGAAGGGGGTCGGGCGAGTCGGTTTTCGCTGTCGTAGGATGTAGTTCCATCGTTGCACGAAATGCCGGGTGAGATCTCGGGCGGGTTGGCCGACAACATGCATCGAAATATCGTGCCACGGCATTCTAGGTATCGTATTACGGTCATACATCTCTTCGTACGGCTTGTCGAGCTCGTAGAAATCTTGAATACGCGGGTTAGAATAGTCCTTCCCGGGCCAGAGTTGAGAGTGATCTGCATCCTTGGGCATATCAGCAGCCTCAAAGCCCGTCGGTTTGTCGTCTGTAAGCTGGTGTTGGGGGGTATCCCATCTTCCAAAGCACAGGTCAATTCCACCAACGAAAGCCAAAGTATGATCGATGATGCACAGCTTCTCGTGGTGAGCCCAGAAGAATGTGTTCTGCCGGAACTGGTTGGGGGATCTCTGCACGAAGACGTTCGGGTGCAGATCCAAAAGAGAGAACTTGGAGTATTCTGAGTCGATTGGGATAGCAGAGTTGATGTTTCGGTACATGATGACAAAAATCTTCACCCCTTCGCGGGCCTTGCGCTGCAGAAGACGATCCAAACGCCATTTCTGACTGATCGCCGCGGGCCGCCGCATGTAGAGCTCGGGACTCAGCCACCAGTCGTGAATGTAGATAACATCCTTTGCCTGGTTGATCGCTCGCGAAACCATCCACATGTGATCACGCCCATCGACAAGCCACTGTGCGAAACATTTGTGACGGACGGGAGCAAAACTGTCAAAGCGATTTGGTTTGGCCCATGGAGTGTTACTCACCATGAACCGGATTGAGTCCTCGAACTGGGTTAGCTGACGTTCATTTCTGGCCAGCAGTCTCATCTTTCGCTCCGAGTTCTCAAGTCTCAGGGTGTGATGTTGCGGATGTCTCGCTGATTCTTTTGCAGACTTGGCCAGTTCCTTCGCTTTCTGATTCCGCAAACTAATCTTTTGTGTTTGCATCTTAAAGAAGGGATCAACCAGGAAAACATCGTAGATATTCATCTCTTCGGGTGAGTCGACGCAAACTACGTAACTGTGTCTCACTAGGAACCATTTAGGAGAATGGCGTTTCTTCACCATGGCTGGCGTCAGAGCCCGGCGGAAATCCAAGCCCTTGGACGATTGAATGATCAAGAAACCTTCTTTGCCGTGATAACTGCCTTCGGCTGCGAGACGTACGCCCAATGCCGATAACTCCAGGAACTTGCATAGACGGTTACTGTCTGGCCTAAAAATTAGGAACCGGATCATCTTCTGAAGATAAGCCTCGAGTTTTTTCCGCTGTTTTTCTGGATAAGATTCCTTCTTATTGACAGGGCATGCTTCCGCTGCACCTGATGCTGCTGCGTTCTCACCCTCCTGCGGGTTTGTGGCGTTGGACTTTTTGCGGGATAAGGCAGCGGATGACCGTCGGGATGACTGTTGTTGATTTTGTTTCTTCTTCTTCCCACTCCTCTCATTACCACTAGTTGCATTGGCTTCTGTCTCGTAGCCAACTTCATCCTCTTCATCCTCCATCTCACTTTCCAGTCCACGAACTCCACGCAAATAGGGAAACGCGCTCCGGGGGAAACGTGGGAGACGTGTATGCCCCCCTTCGGGATTCCGTAGTTGAATATATTTCTGAGTTCCGAAGTGAAGCTTGTATTTCAGATGCAAATTGGCGAGGTCTCGCAGAGTTCGATGGATGATCCATTTCATTCGCGTCATGCCGCTGCCATATTCGAGTTCGATCCGGAAAACCAAATGACGGTCACCTGAATTGGAATCGATACGGCTATCTGTAACGCGGACCTTAAGCTGTTCCAGGAGGATTGGAATGCGCTTGCTACCGTGTTCGTCTCGTTGAAACATGCTAGCCAAAATTAGGGCGGCCGGCACCCCAGAGGTTAGCTCTGCTAGCAGTTCCGCTGATTTGGCATGGTCAACCGTGTTGTCGGCCTTGCGACGCTGTCCGATGAGCTTCAATCCGGCCTTGATTTGCTTCCATCTTTGAGTGCTAAGACTAGAGCCACGGTCACCACGATTGCGCCGGCGTGCCGCAAGGGTTTCTGAGTTTTCCGAGGGACCCGTCAATCCGGCGAATCGCCTCAGGTTACCTGACCGTCTTTCCTCTTGGTTTGCACCCTGTCCGTAGCTTAAACCACGAGCGTTGGCGAGCCAGGCGCTTCGTCGTCTCATGGCGCGGTTCCTGTTAAGACGGTCACGTCCCTCATCCTCCGACACACCCTCGCGCTGCTGGTGAATATCAGCAGCACTTGCTCTTCGAGGAAAGAAGTTGTGGCGGTAGTTCTCGAAAGGAGTAAAAGAACCATGTCGATGAAACGAAGGCCGACTCGTTCGAGGC